GCCACAAAACGTGTGAGCGGTGTGCCGAAACGGGGGTGGCGCCCACATGCGAACTGCGCCACTGGGACCTTAGCTGCAACTCCCTATGGGGCCACGAGACGTGTGAGGGGGGTGCCGAAACGGGGGTGACGCCCACACGCGAACTGCACCACTGGGGCCTTGGCTGGAGCTCCCCATGCGGCCACGAAGCGTGTGAGAGGTGTGCCGAGACAGGGGTGACGCCCACATGCGAACTGAACCACTGGGGCCTTAGCTGGAGCTCCCTATGCGGCCACAAAACGTGTGAGGGGTGCGCCGCAACGGGGGGTGACGTCAGCATGCGAACGGTGCCACTTGGGCCATAACTGCAGCTCCTTACGGGGCCCAAAAACGTGTGAGGGGTGTGCCGACATGGGAGTGGCGCCAACATGCGAACGATGCCGCTGGGGCTTTAGCTGGAGTCCCCAATGGGGCCACGAAACGTGTGGGGTGTGTGTGTGTGCCGAAACGGAGGTGACGCCAACATGAGAACGGTGCAACTGGGGCCTTAGCTGGAGCTCTCCATGGGGCCACGAAACGTGTGAGGGGTGTAACGAAGCTGATGGCGATGATGATGGTGTTGGTGGTGGTGATGCTGATGATGAAGAAACGGATGAAGATGAAGGTGATGATGAAGCTGATGAAGATGATGCTGAATATGATGATGATGATGCTGATGATTATGATTATGATGATGATACTGGTGATGCTGAAGATGATGCTGGTAAGGCTGTTGCTGCTGATGATGATGATGATGATCGTGGTGTCGATGACGGCGAGTATGATGATGCTGGGGATGCTGATGATGGTGATGATGGTGGTGATGCTGACAGTGATGATGGTGACGGTGCTGGTGATGATGACGACGGTGATGTTGATGATGATGGTGATGCTGATGAAGATGCTAATGATAATGATGATGCTGATGATGATGCTGATGACGAAGACGGTGGTGATGATGATGTTGATGGTGACGATGACGATGATGATGATGATGATGATGATGATGATGCTGATGCTGATGATGATGATGCGGATGATGATGATGATGATGATGATGATGATGATGATGATGATGGTGATGATGACGATTCTGATGGGAGGAGGGGAAGGGCGATGATGGTAGGAGGGTGGAGGAAGGAAGGAACGCGGGCCGATGTCCCTCCAAAGCAAGGACCCATCATCACATGATTGCACAGAACAGTGCAACGACGCGCAAAGACATGTAATGCCATGCAAGCAACAACGCAATGCAACGCAATGCAACGCTATGGACAAAAGTGCAAAGCAACGCAACGCAATGCAAAGCAATGCAACGCAACGCAATGAGACGCAGTGCGACGCAATGAAAGGCAATGCAAAGCAGTGCAAAGCAATACAAAGCATGCAACGCACTGCAAATCAACGCAACGCAGTGCAATGCAACGCAAGGCCATGCAAAGCAATGGAGAGCAATGCAAACAAATACAACAAACTGTAAAGTAATGCAAAGCCGTGCAAATCAATGCAGCGCAGTGCAAAGCAATGGCATGCCATTGCCATGCAAGGCCATGCGATTGCAATGTCATGCAATGCGGTGACAAAGCAACGAAACGCGATTACAACGCAATGCAAACCGATGCAACGCAATGCGATTGCAATGCAATGCGACTGCTGTGCAACGGGGGGGGCAGCGGACGAGAACGGGGCCGCCGGGCCCGCAGGAGGGCCCAGTTCCTTCGAAGAGAAGTACGGACCTCGAAGGGCAGGCACTGATTGGGAAGAAGAGATCTCAACACATCCCTTGCACAACTTAACTCACACCATATAGACCTTACACACACAGCTTGCACCACACGCATCACACGACATAACTTGCACCACACAGGTCACACAACACGGCTTGCACAACATCGCTGACACCACCTTACCTGAACAACATACCGTCCACCTCCGCATTGCAATACCTCACTGTGTGGGGTTCACGCTGGCTAACATTTTGTAGTAGTATACACCAGTCTCTCGGACGTACTTCGCAGTCTGGACGTGACTCTGCGCCCCTACGAATGACCCGGCCTCACCCCGCCCCCTCCCTGCCCATCTCATCCGACACCCTCCTAGAATTCGCCCCTCCCCAGGGGTGCGTTTCGAGCAGAACTTCGAAGGGAAGTCTGGCCGTGGCGACGAGGGCGCCCCAATGGAGGCCCCGATGAAGTCCAAAAGGACCCGTGTTTCGATCACCCGCCCACCCTGCCCATCCTGATGCAGCAGCTTCAGGGGAGCTCATCTTGCGCGATGGGTCGGCTCCGTGTCGAACCCACGTGAAATGCGAGCAGGCCCCGCGTCGGGTGCAAGAACAGACTGCTATCTACAGGACCGTGGCAAGGCCCCTCGAAGATGCAGCAGTGCATAAAACCCGCCCACAGCCCACCCCACCCCACCCCGACCCACCCAGCAAGCGCGCCCCCACGACGGTCCCCTTGCTCCCGGCTCCGCCACCACGGCGGCCACGGCACTCGGGGTGGCGGCCGGGCGGGGACTGGGTGGACGCCGCGGACCCCTCCCCCATCTCTCCCCCAATATTTGGGCGAATAGATCTTTTCGATCCGGGCAAATTTCCCCCATCTGAATACCCAGACCCGTGGCGCCATAACTGGTTCGTAACCTCGACCCCCAGAGGTCTCGACCCGTTTCCCGGGACCGATTTATCATCCTGCGACAGATTTTGACGGTCCCGAAACTCCCGAAATAACGAAAAACCTCCCGTGTCTTTTCATGACTCGATGGGATCTGTGTATGCGGGGGCCGTTTTCGGCCTCGCGGGATAATCACACAGCTTCGACACCCGCGTTCATCCGAGGTCGGGGCGCGGCGGCCACTCTCCTCAAACCTCGGGCGGCCCGATCTTCCAGCCCCAGGCTTCCCGTCTATAAGACCCTCCAGGGGCGGTTTTCGGGCCCGGAGACAATTCAAATTGGCAAGGAGAGCGGACCCGAACGGAAAATGCTTCGCCGCCGCCGCCGCCTCCTGCATCCCTCTTCCTCATAGATAAAGCCGCCCCGCCTCGCAACCAGACGTGCCGTCAGGGCGGTTGGGGTGCCTCGCCTGACTCCCTCGCACTTGGCGGCAAAAAACTTTGTAAACTCCCAACGCGGACACGGATGAAGGCGGGCCGTGCCAGAAATTAAGAACACCTTCAAGGAAACAAGACGGCTCCTTTTCAAAACAGGGCTCTCGCTGCACACTCAAACTTCACTCGGGTCATGGTGCCATACCTCTTCGCTTTCCTCAGAGCGTCTCTTTATGGTCATGACAGGGTCCTCATCATAATCATCCCATCCTCCTCCCTCCCACGATTGGGAGGAGGGGGGAAGGAGGACCAAACACCGAGATTCGCGGATCGATGTTTGGGTGCCGTTTTCCGCCCCATGTGGGGCCTCCCGGAGGCTTCTCGTTGTCATGCTCGATTTCTCCTTGAAGTTCTGGTCACACCGCACCCCGAACATGTTTGGAAATATTCTTCAGGGAGGTTGAAGAGGCCGCGCAAGAGGAGGCGGCACAAGAGGAGAAGCAGGAACACGAGCATCAGCCACAGCATCATGAGAAGAAGGAGGAGAAGGTTCAGGAGGACGGAGGAGAGGGGAAGGGCAGATGGGGGGAGGGATGCGAGGGAGCGAGCAGGAACTTGAGCGATGACGAGGAACAGAGGGGTGCAAGGGAGGGACAGAGGAGGAGGAGGAGGAGGAGGAGGAGGAGGAGGAGGAGGAGGAGGAGGAGGAGAAAGCGGAGGAGCAGCAGCACCAGCAAGAGCAGGAGAAAAAGGAGAAGTGAGGATGGAGCCAACGGAGGGAGGACGAGAAGGAGGAGGACTCTGGAAGCACCGAAGGGAACGCACCCGGCAGGAACACCTGGTGCCGAGAGGCAGAGTCGGCGACCCGGTGGCACAATGCCCTGCGACTGTCCACCGCGTGCCGAAGGCGCTGCTCCAGGACCCCCGACGTCGTGGATGGATCGCAGCGTCGACCCTCCGAGGTCTCGACCTTTCCCAGCGTCGTGCATTGATCGCAGCGTCGTGAATTGATCGCAACGTCTGGGGGAACAAAATGTGACATAAACATAAAAACTCGGAGGTCCGCGCGGATTTCACTGATCGGCGCTGGACCTCCCCTCCCTGGCGCGCGGAGCGCGCCAGGGGCGGCGCCGGAGGCGCCGCTGGGGGGCCCCAGCGCCGATCAGAGAAATCCGCGCGGACCTCCGAGTCTTTATGTTTATGTCACTTTTTGTTCCCCTAACGTCGTGAATTGATCGCAGCGTCGACCCTCCGAGGTCTCGGCCCGTTGCCCTGGGCCACCTGTCCGTCCCGAGTCGAGGCTGGACGGTCCCAGGGCCCTGCACGGGCCCCTCCGAAGGCCGTACCTCCTCCCCTCCGGGGGAGAAGCAGAAGGATGCGGAGGGGGAGGAGGAGGAGGAGGAGGAGGAGGAGGAGGAGGAGGAGGAGGAGGAGGAGGAAAAGGAGGAGGAGGAGGAGGAGGAGGAGGAGGAGGATGAGGAGGGCGATGTATAGAGGCAGAAGGAGGCGGAGGGGAGGAGGACGAGGAGGAGGAGGAGGAGGAGAAGGAGGAGGAGGAGGAGGAGGAGGAGGAGGAGGAGGAGGAGGAGGGCGATTTATAGAAGCAGAAGGAGGCGGAGGGGAGGTGGAGGAGGAGGAGGAGGAGGACGAGGAGGAGGAGGAGGAGGAGGGGAGGAGGAGGGCGATTTATAGAAGCAGAAAGAGGCGGAGGGGAAGATGAGGAGGACAAAAACACGCGCCGTGACCCTTTCACGACGCAAGGGGGCCTTGGCTGGCGGCATCGGGCAAAGGGCGGCTCGGCCACGCGAGAGGCCCTGGAAAAGCAGATCGTCTGGTCGTATCGCCGCCTGACCTCGTCGACGAGGACCCTCCCGTATTGGATCCCCTTGCTGAGCGGCGCAGAAGTCGCTGCTGACGGAACCCTGCAATGGATCTACCACGCGAGGTCCTGGGAGGGCAGGTCGGCCCACCCGTGTCGCTGCACGATCTCGTCGACCGGGACCTTCCCGTAGTCGATCCCCATGCCGTCGGGCCGCAGGTGCGCGGTGAGGTCCATGTGCATCTCCTGCGAGTAGGCCCACGGGCAATTGTCGCGGGCCGCCTTGTGCCTCGAGGGAGCCCCAAATGCACCCGTTGGTGCAGCGTGCAAGACCCACCCCCTTCTGCACGCAATCTCTCCTACCTTCTCGCGCACCACGGCGGCATCCTCCTCCTCCTCCTCCTCCTCCTCCTCCTCCTCCTCCTCCTCCTCACCTCCTCCTCTTTTCATTCTCATCCTCAGGAGGAGGATGATAATGAAGGGAGGAGGAGACGAGGGATGAAAAAGAGGAGGAGCAAAGGATGGAGCAGGAGGACGAGCAGAAAAGGAGGAGAAGGGAAAAGGGAGCGACAGGAGGAGGAAGAGGACGAGAGGGAGGAGGCGGAGGGGGGGGAGATCAAGGATTCGACTAGTGGTCATTGCGATGACATCTGAGCCTGAGGTCGTAGCCCCACAGCCTCAGAAAAGTGGACACCTGCCGCTTCTGGCCAAGGCCGTACTTCGCACCGGGACTGATGTCCTTCGTGTCGTACCCTGACTGGGGATGAGGAGAGAGGGGAGGGGGCAGGATGAGGAGAGGAGAGGGGAGGGGGTGGACGAGGGCCTGGGGGGAGAAGGAAACATGAGGGGGGGGACGGCAGGATGAACCGTTGGATCACGCTGAATGCTCAAAGGGCCCTGGAAACGGCAGGGCCGTTTTTTTGTCGTTTCCGAAATTAGATTTCTTGAAAATGGAAACATTGAAAAACGGCAACTGGAAACTAAGAAAAAACGGCTCCGAAATTGGAGCCAAAACCGGAACCGGCAAGGAAACGGCGACGGTACTGGAAAAATAAACGGCACCAGAACCGGTAACAAAAACTGCTATGTCGTTTCCAGGGCCCACTACGGCTGTGTGGAAGGTAAGGGGAGCGAGAGGACGAGGACGAAGAGGGACCAGGGGGGCGGTGAGGAGAGGAGTGAGGAGGAGGATGAGGTGGTGGAGGAGGAGGAAGAAGAGGATGAGGAGGACAAGGTCTAACCGGGGCAGCAGGATGAGGAGGAGTTATTAAGATAAGAGGGAGGAGGAGGAGGAGGAGGAGGAGGAGGAGGCGGAGGAGGAGGGAGGAGGAGGAGGAGGAGGAGGAGGAGAGGAGGAGGAGGAGGAGGAGGAGGAGGAGGGGACAGCAGGATCAGGAGGACAAGGGAAGAGGATGAGGAGGAGGTCTCCTGCCAGAGGTCGCCGCAGCCCCAGCATTATCTCAACATTCTCCATGGTCTTAGCTTTCAGCCCGTTCTGCTGCGTGTTCTCCCAGAAGGTCTTCGGCCGCGTCTTCCTGTTGTACGTGTGGAAGAGGAGAACCTGACCAGAGCACGACGCAATGACCCAATCCACGCGACACGCCACCCTCGCAGGTCGCTCCCCCGACCCCCACCCCGCAGGAGCCCGGGAGGCGTGCAGACCTCGAGCCTCTCGGGAGGCCCGTGGGAGCTCCACTGTGCGCGCAGGCATTGGTCGTTGACGCTCGGGGCTCTGGGCCCCCGAACACCTCGCCGAGATCGGCGGGCACTCCCAAAGGGCCAGGGGCCAGCATCCCGCGGACGGCGGAGGACGGCCGAGGCATCCGCTGGCGCCCGCATGCACGCGTGCACGTTGGATCCTGGCGCCGGGAGCGTGGTGTGCGCGCGCGGCCGTCGGCTCTGACAGCCCATGGGCAAGCCAGTGGCCCCCTCGGGGAAGCAAGTCCGCCCTCCCCAGCAGTGCGCCGGACCAGAGAGTCGGCCAACGTATCATGATCCCATGTCATGTCACTCATGAATGTCCCCGGCCGGGAGCGTGGTGGAAGGTGTAGAAGTCGTAGCCCGAGGTCCACATCCTGAGCGCCATGACGGTCTCCTCCCCGTTGAAGACTAGCCTCGGCGGCGCGCAAGGGGGGAGCGAGATAGGGGCGCCCCTCCAGGGGGGATCCGAAACGTCATGTGGCATCCTCGGGGGACCTTGTCTGTCCTATCGCGCCGCTATCCGCGTCGAACGTCACATGCGTCGAATCTGCGTAGAACCCTGGGCGGACGCAAGAAACTGGCAGCGACTGACAGGGCAGACGAGGCCCCCCGAAGGCGCAGCGTGGCAGACGCGATCGAAGAAGGAAGGGGTGGTGGTCTCCGAGGGGCGCACCCTGGCCTTCCTGCAAAAGATTACAGAAAGGCCTGCCCCTGAGCCGCCGCAAAGTGAAAGTGAAAGTCGGGGCCCTAAAGGCACTAAGGAGGAGCCCTCCAATACAAACAAAAACGGGGCGGCCCGAAAGGGCCAGGGCAGGCGGAGGCGGGCCAGCCGACAGGCTTGACTTAGGGCCCCCCCAGACGCCGAGCCCACCCCTGACGCACGGACACCGAATCAACACGACATGTCCGAGCCACACACTTGAGCCGCCGCAACACCTCCTGCAACAGACCTGGTCCGGGTAGGGCCCGCCCTGGTGCCCCCAGAAATGTGGTACAATCGGACCTGGGCCAAAGAACATCCCGCAAGAGTATGAGACCCTCCGTCGGCCAAAACGAATAGAACATCCAAGGGTACCCTCCCAAGGATGCGCAAGAGCATCCAACAACCACAAAGAAAACTAGGGCACCCTCCCCGAACCGTCCTCGATCTTACACCTCGGCCCGACTGTATGAGGGGCCCTGAAGCCGGTTGATCTAGAACACCTCCTGTTCCAAAAGAGTGCTGGGCAGTATCTACGCGGGGCAGTTCCGAAAGGCCGAAACGCGGCCACAGCAGAGGAGATTTCCAATTGTTCAGGATCCACTCCGCTGGCAGTGGGAACAACAAGCTTGCTTTGGCAGCTTAGCTTTAGCATCAGCCTGCAGTGTGCTTGATCGGTCATCTATCTACAACTTATGTCTCGTACCATCTACGGGGTAAAAGTGTGATCCTGAATAACCCGAGTTGGGTGCAATCTGGGGCAACTCCAGCGCGAAAACGAGAAGCCCAAATCGGGAGTTTAGATATCCCTGGCCTCCCCGTGTCCTGATATTTCAAGGTGGCCACCGAACAAGTTCTCTTTAGGGGGTGGCCAGCGGAACGAACAACGCTCCGAACCACGCTCGAACCACAATCGAACCACGCTCGAACCACGATCCAGCCACGCGCGGACCACGCTCCGAAACACGCTCGAACCACGTGCCCACCACGCTCCAACCACGCGCGAACCACGCGCGAACCACGAGCGACCCACGCTGCAACCACGCTCCAACCACACTCGAACCACGCGCGAACCACGCGCGAACCACGCGCGAACCACGCTCCGAACCACACTCGAACCACGCGCGAACCACGCTCCAACCACGCGCGAACCACGCGCGAACCACGCTCCAACCACACGCGAACCACGCTCGAACCACGCTCGAGCCACGCTCGAACCACGCTCGAGCCACGCGGCGGACCACGCTCGAACCACGCTCCAACCACGCGCGAACCACGCTCCAACAACGCGCGAACCACGCTCCGAGCCACGCCCGAACCACGCCCGGACCACACGCGAACCACGCTCGAATCACGTGGTTCGAGCGTGGTTCGCGCGTGGTTCGCGCGTGGTTGGAGCGTGGTTCGCGCGTGGTTCGAGCGTGGTTGGCGCGTGGTTCGCGCGTGGTTGGAGCGTGGTTCGGAGCGTGGTTCGAGCGTGGTTCGAGCGTGGTTCGAGCGTGGTTCGCGCGTGATTCGCGCGTGGTTGGAGCGTGATTCGCGCGTGGTTCGCGCGTGGTTGCAGCGTGGGTCGCTTGTGGTTCAAGCGTTGTTCGAGCGTGGTTCGAGCGTGGTTCGCGCGTGGTTCGAGCGTCGTTCGCAAGCTCCGGAACAGCCCCAAAAGCGGGTGGCGGAGCTCACAAAGACGAGGGTCAATGACTTGTCTTGTGGCCACCCTAACTGATATCTGATATCAAGGGAACAAGCAATGATATTAACAGTACTTCTCGGAGACCCGCGTGAATTTTCTCCTGGATCGGCGCTGGAACCCCCCTCCCTGGCGCGAGGAACGTGTCAGGGACGGCGCCAGAGACACCGCCAAGGAGGCCCAGCGCCGATCCGATGAATCCGCTCAGCGCTCCCGAATTATTGTTTATGTCATTGCTTGTTTCCTAATGATAACTCGGGGCTCTGATGCCCTGAGGGGCAACGATAGGGGGGACTGGCTTGGGGCGGGAAACGTCGACCTGGAATCGGCGATACATCGCCGGTAGATCGACGATAGGCCTCAGATAGTGAATCCGCACGCTCCTGGGCAGGGTGGGGCTATCAGACCCAGACGCCCCCACGACCGTCCGAAGAGGCCCCCAGACTGCCCAGGAGAGACTCAAGACGGTCAAAGAGGGCACCCAGATAGCCCAAGAGAGCCCCCACAGAACCTCGAGACGCGCCCAGACAGTCTAACATGGCCCAAGCAGCCTCCAAGATACCCCGAAAAGGCTCCCCAAAATATTACCGAAAAGCATCCCCCCTGGGCCCATCCCACCCTATCGGTGCCCCTAATGTTCCCGGCCCCCACCCCCACTCGGGGGCGACAATGGGGGGCGAATAGCCCAGGGGCAGGCGTCATACGCAGTCGCCCGGGAGACTCGCCGAAAGCATGTGCCATGCATTGCTCCCCCCTGTTCACCTCTATCGCCACTTCCGACCCACCCCCTCCCTGCGAGCTTTCCGCCCCGCAGGCCGGAGGAGGCCGTAGGGCACGCGCGCCACGCGGTGCCCGCGGCTGAAGGAGGAGCCCGCGGCCCAGACGGGCTGCAGGATCGGGGAGCCGTTGAGGGACGCCATGGGGAAGATCTCGCCCGCCGCCTGCGAGACCCCAGAGATCTGAACGCTACCATTCTTTCACGACGGGCGATTCCGCCTGGCTGCTGGGGCAATTACGGATCGATCGGACTCGAAAAATGCTACGGAAAGGTAGGGTCCAGGGCTCTGGTCCCAGACCCCCGACGTCATGATTTTGTCACAACATCGACCCTCAAAGGTCTCGACCCATTGCCCAGGACCAGCTCTTCATTCTGAGTCTGTTTTGACGGTCCCAAGGCTCGGTAAAGGCCCCCAACGGCAGAAAATACCGAAACACCTCCCGTCGTAATTCTTGTCACGACGCGAGGGGTCCTGGTATGTTGCAAACTTTTCGCGACGTCGGATCTCTGGGATGGCGCTCGCTCTGGCTGAGGAGTCCAGCTCGCCTGCCCATCCTCCCTGCGCTCCTCCTCCTCCTCCCGCTCCTCGATCGAGCGGCGAGCGAGCGGGGGAGGGGCGGGGGTTGGAGATAATCATGTAGGAGCTGACCGGTGGTCCAGGCAGTTATCTCTGGCGGCGCGCACAAGGGGGTGGAGGGAGGTGGAAGGGCTTCGTAGAAGAAGGCTGCTTCTCAGATGGCGCTGGCCTTACATCTACAGTGTATAGATAAGGCCAGCGCCTTCTAAGAAGCAAGGGTGCTTCTAAGAAGCCCTCCCCTCTCCCCAAACCCCCCATCGTTGCGTGGTGTGGATCTCTGGGCCTGGTGTCTGACCATGCCGTCGACGTCGAACTCCGACTTACAGATCAGCGGCGTGCTCTTGTGGGAGCTATGACCGCTGCCGTCCATGCTGCCCGGCGCGTATGCAGATGGGTACGTGGTCAGCACCGCGTACTCATTGCCCGTCGCCTTCCACTGCTTGATCATCTCCGTGTCCCAGTTGGCCACGAAGTACATGTGGGCGTCGATCTGCAATGCAAAGTACTCGCCGCGGTATAGTCTGTCCGCCCTGTACCGGCCGTACGTGGGCCCCTGCGCTCCGCGGGCATCCACGCGGTGCACTGTGATTTGGCCCGAGTAGACGCAGAGGAGCTGGCTCGGGTCGACGTCGCACGGCACCATCGTGAAGTTGCACGGCAGGTCGCCCTGGCTCGGGATGCTCTGCTCCACGGCCCCAAAGAAGAGCCGCCGCGGGTGCTCCGCCATGCGCAGTGCCTCCTTGATAGTGTTGTGGCAGAGGTCGTCCCTGTAGGAAGCGATGCTGATGAAGATGGTCGGCTCGCCGTCCACGGTCGTTCCTAGGGTCTCGTAGTGCTGGCCGTAGCCCGTGGGTGGCTCCCACTCGGGCGGCGGCGGCGACTCCACAAACGGGGGGGGGTCGAAAACCTCCGCGCAGAACTTTCGGTAGGACATCTCGGATCCGGTTGGAGACGGTGTCGTCTCCCCGAACGCGCGCAGCTGAAACGACCTCTCGTTCTGCGACGTGATGCCGCCACAGGTGGGCTCCTGCATGCACGCCGAAGATAGAGGACCAAAAAAGGGCATAATCATTTCAATTTCTCTGAGGTCCGCGCGTGTTTTTGGGATCGGCGCTGGATCCCCCTCCCTGGCGCGCCGCCAAGGGGGCCCGGCGCCGATGCAATATACCCGCGCGGACATTCGAGAAATTGTGATTGCGCCGTCGTTTGCTCCTCGAGAGGAGGCCGAGCTGAAGGACTTGAACTCTGCGCAGCCCTTGTAGACAAGCGCGGTCCACTACTCGCGAAGTAATTCTTCGCAATTGGCCTGGACCCTCCGCGCGGGATTTACGAACCATTGCATCGAAGCACACATGTGCTTCTGGTATCGGAAGCCAGAGGCTTGTGGAGCATGCGGTCTGTCACACGAGACGTGTAAACTCTCGCACCTCATGGCCTCCTCATGTTATTCCTGTTCCCCCTCATTCTCCGCATCGTTTTATTCGGTATCGCTACGCAACTGAAAGTTCTGTGCACGATAACTTCGCGATCTGCGGGTCTCTAAAACAACTGCCAATCGACTAAACAATATGCCCCCCGAGCATGGTCCTCGAGATTCCAAACCATTGCCAGCTGGCGTGGGCTTGGGATTCCCGGGGCAATGGTCGGGGGGGCACTTTGGGGGGCTCTTCCGGCTTCCTGAGGGTATCTTGATGGTGAGGGTGTGCATTGTCGCACAGCCTGGGGAACCTTGCTAAGCCATGGCAAACCCTGGTAAGTCCCTAAGCCTTGATAGGCCTTGCCATGCCCTGTTCAGACATGGTGAGCTATTCCAGGTGCTGCTAAGCCTTGGTAAGCCTTCCAAGGCCTGCTGAGGACAGGTGAGCTCTGCTAAGCCATGCTTAGCCTCGTTGGGCCCTGCTCAGACTTGACAAGCTTTGTGAAACCTTGCTATGCCTTGCTGAGCCTTGCGCCGCCTTGGTAAGCTTTGCTCAGCCCTGCTAATCCTTGTGAAGCCTCACGCGCTGCTGGGCTTTGCTGAGCCCTGCTGGGCCCTGCTAAGAATGTGTAAATTATGCGGAGCATTGGTAAGCCCGGCGGAGCCCTGGTAAGCCTCTCTAAACCCTACTGAGGCCGACACGCTACTGCTAAGTCCTGACAAGCTCGGCAAAGCCCTGACACGCCCTGCTGAGCCATGGTCTGCTTCGATCTACCCTTCTTGACTCTGCGAAGCCCTCCCAAGCTTGGCAAGCCCTGCTACACCTTGCTCAGCCTTGGCAAGCTGAGTTCAGCCCTGCTAAGCCTTGCTGAGACTTGCTCAGCCTTGGCAAGCTGTGTTCAGCCCTGCTAAACCTTGTTGAGCCTTGGCCAGCCTTGGCAAGCTTTGCTCGGTCCTGCTAATCCTTGTAAAGCCTTCAGCCCCGCTGGGCCAGGCACGCCCTGCTGGGCCCTGCTAAGACTTGGTACGTATTGGTAGGTGCTGCTGCGCCATGGCAAGCCCTGCTAAGCCCTACTGAGGCCTACCAGCCACTGCTGAGCCCTGGTAAGATCTGCAATGCCTTGGCAAGTCCTGGTGTGTCCTTCGGAACCCTGGTAAGCTGTGCGATGCCCTGCTGAGCTCTGAGCAAGCTCTGCGTAGCCCTGCTAAGCTTGGTCAACCTTGCGATGCCCAGCTAAGCTTGACAAGCCTTGCTACGCTCAGCCTTGGAAAGCTTTGCTCAGCCCTGCTGCTCCTCACGCAGTCTTAAAAACCAGCTGAGCTTGGTTCAGCCCTGCTAGGCCTTGCTGAGACCTGGTCGGCCGTGCTAAGCCTCAAGCCAGAGGACGCCTTACTAAGCCCAACCGAGCTTGCTTAGCCCACAGTAAAGCCCTGGCAGGCTCTGCAAAGTCCTGCTCAGTCATGGTACGCCCTGCTGGGCACTGCTAGCCACTGCTAAAGCCCTGGCAAACTCTGCATCGACCTGCTAAGTTATTGTACGCCCTGCTGCGCCCTGGCAGGCTTTGCTCAGCCCTGCTAACCTCTGCCAAGCTTTGCTAAGCCCTGGTGAACCCCAGTCGGCCCGTACACCTGGATAAACCTTGCCTCGCTCTGCTCAGCCCGGGTAAGCTTCGTTGCAATCCCTACTAAGCCTTATTTCGCATAATGCGTGGTCCTTCACTGCAGGACACATATTTTATGGTGGAGTATTCAGTGATGGTGTGTGTTGGCAGGCATTCGTCAGCACGGATGCATTTCTCAAAGGGCCCTCAGTAAGGACCCTTTGAATGACGAATCCTTAATGGGATGTCTTTTTTTTGGGGGGGGGAATAATCTTTTCAGACGGGATCCCTGCGGCAACAACGGGAGCACCCTGGAGTAGGAGGGAAAGGGGGGTGGTAGAGCGAGGAGGGAGGAGGAGGGAGGAGGACGAGGAGGGGGGAATGGTAGAGGGAGAGGGAGGTGTAGAGGGAGTCGGGAGGAGGAGGGAGAGGTGGTGTGGGCGGTATGTCCCCTCTTCCCCCCAAGAGAAAAACAAACAACGAGGGCGGGAATATGAAAAATCACACAGGAATGATGGGGAAAGGAAGGAGTGGGTGGGTGGTGTGAGCGTGTGTCTGGATGGCGGGCTATTCCCTCTTCCCGCCCCCCCCCCCCAAAAAAAAGAGAGGCGGACGTCCAAATGAGATGCTTCTTATTATTTGGTTTGCGTGTGTGTGTGGGGGGGGGGTAGAGGGGCCGGGAAGGGGAAACTCTCCCCGCTACCAGACGCAAACACACACACACACACACACCACCCACACACACACACACACACACACACACGAACAGAAAACAGAGAGAAGAAGAAAGAGAAAAGACGAGTGAAGAAAGGGTTCAGCAGACCGCATTCTCCACGGTCCCCTGTCCTCGTCTTTCGAACGTTTGCGAGTACGCACTTTGCGAGTAGTGGAACGCGCTCGACGACCTTGGAGCACCCCGGGATGAAGCCGCCGAAGGGGCCGCCCAGGTGGCACTGCCTGCGCCCGCCCTGCGAGGCCTCGCCGTGGGGTGCCGAGGCCCCGGCCAGGGCCGCCCGGGAGCGGCCGCGCAGCGCGGGGGCGGCGCCGAACTCCACCGAGTGTGCCTTCGTCTGGACGTGGTGCGAGCCTGGGTGGGCCAGACAGGGGCACCACAAATGAAGGGTCCCAGGGGCACACACCTAAATACTCCTGCATCCCAGGATGTCTCACATTGTTTCCCCATGCTTTCTGGACGTGTTCGCTTCCCCTCCCACTTCCAATACTTTCCCACGTACCGTTTTCCTGGGAATCGACGATTCAATGCGTCTGTGTGTTATTTTTCCGACTTAACAATGAGACGTACGCACCAAACCACGTACATGAACACGGCCCCTCAGTCCGCAAAGCCAACCTCGCGATGCGAACGGTTGCACATGGCGCACTCTCGAAACCGGCGTGGATTCATGTACGTGTGCGTCCTTCTTTCGCTCCTGGCAACAGGGTACACAACAGGCGCTAGGCGGCGTATTCGCTGGCGCGCTCTAGTAGCGGCGCGCGGTGTACTGACCATAGGACGGCGGCCGCAGAAAGCAGGCGGGGGAGGAGGGCACTCACCACGGAAAGAGTTTCAAGATGCAGGTGCAACAGGCACACGCGGCTTGCGTTTACTTGCCCAGCGGCCAGGCAACCGTCGCCCCGCTGCAGAGGAGGCTCGCACTGCCCCCCCCGAGCCCCGAGGGGCCCCCGGGGGTGCTCAGCTCCTGCCCGTCGCTGCGAAAGCCCTCCAGGGCGCCGATCTTGAGCTGCAGCTAGGGGCACGTGCCGTGGGAGTGTGCGTCCGGGGGTGAGCCCAGGAGGCTTCAGGCCCAGGAGGGCCCTTTGCCTGATGAGGATGGCGGTGTGGTATCCATGGCGGACCCACGATCGGTGACCCAACGGCTCCAAGCCTCTCGATTCCTATCCAAGTGTTCCTTCGTAAGTGTTCTCACCGTAACACAAGAACTCGGCCTGCCATCGGGTGCCCCACGGGAAGCATCTTGTCCCATGACGGCTCCAGGGGCTCATACAACCCTAGGGACATCTTGGGAAGGCTAGATCCGTCGACCCGACCCTGCTTGTTGGGGGTGAAACGGTGTGCGAGATGATTGGCTGTCCTTCCTCCCCCTTTCCCCCTCCCCGGGGATCCAAATTGCAGTTGGAGGAGGAGGGCTCCAGATCCACCCTCCGTGGCCTCCAAGATGCCCAAGACCCACTGCAAGATGGCGAGGAAAGGCTGCAGCGCACCGGAGAGGCCTCAAGAACATCCGAGATTGCTGCACGAAGACCCAGGGGGCCCCGAAGACTCTCAAAGAGGACCCCAACAGAACCTTCTAGACGGCCTAAAGAGATAAACATAATCCCCGATGGTTTTGAATTATTATCACGTTCTCTTGTGTCCCTAGATTTCCTATGACTTCTTATGGTGCGCACCTATTCGACCCATGCCGCTAAGCCCCGACCTTTCCCAGAGCAAATTCTGGTCAAGATTTCAAAACGGGTCCACCAGTGGCGGCGGGGGCGCCACCCCGGAGGGCCCGATGAGGCGAGAACGGGGGGGGCATCGGCAGCGGTATGCATTCTCCACAGAGAGCCGTTCCAGACGAGACCTGGGACACCGCTCTCCCCGGCCACAAAGTGCAGCGCGTGGGTGGTATCGGCTCTCAGGTAGAACATCATCTGCGCCGTCGACAGGAAGACGACTGACAAGACGAGACCTGCAAGGCACAGCGGCAGGCTGTCAAGACCCCCCTTCTTCTTCTGTCGGAGTTCTGCCCTGTCAAGACCGCGAGCTGCAGCAGCCATGTCAGGCGACGCATGCCCCCTGCGGGAAGGTGTCTTCACAGCGGCCACCGCAGGAAAATCGCACCCACTCCAGCCGAAACAACGCCTGTGGAGAAGGATTGTGGAGGAGAAGAAGAAGAAGGAATAACATCTTGGACGACGTGGGCCCTCTTGAGTGAAGGGGCATCCCGACACTGTCGATCCGAGTGCCCTTGATAATCGCACCTGGAAGATCATAAAATTCGGGGACGGGGGGGATAAAGATTCTCGTCCGGCAAACTCGCATGTACTGGGGAAGGGATGGGCTGCCAATATGATATAGCGATGCCCGATGGAGGAGTTGGAGGAGCACGAAATTTGAGACATAGTAATGTATAGCGATGCCCTGCTCGCTCTGCCACTCGTTCGTTAGGAAAGCTGAAATTGTTTCCCTGCCACACGTTCGTGAAAATGCTGCTTCTCAGCATAAAAAGATAATACATCGTACTTTTCCAACGATAATGAAATTCGGCCTCGCCGCCCCTATCCCCCGACCAACTCTATCTTGGCCCGGGATAATCAACTTTCAGCTGTTGAGGGGGGGGTCTACTTTATTATCCAGGGCATGCGGTTACCACAGTGCGAGGCTCGAGATGCACTGGCAGTTTAAGAGTCGCACTGGACTGCCTTCGTATGCTCTGGGTAAGGCTCAACGGAGAGGGAGTGACTTGTTGCAGCTGGTACGCCTGACGGAAGCCGGGTCTAGGCAACTACGTGTGAACCCGATCCCTGAAAGGCCAGCCGGGGCTCAACATTCGAAAGATGTTTGCAGCCAGGTGAACCCCAGCGGGGGTGTCCGGTACCCCAACGCCGGGTGGAACGGAAGGAGTACGTTGCGCAATTGGTCGCAGATGGATGTGGCGCACATCCCGTGGTTCGCTTGAGCCCCTGGGGTCCGCTACTGCTATTTAGCAGCTGCCACGCCAGGCGACCGCCCTATTTCGACATGGCGCCGATGCTGTCTGACCAAACGTTAGTATCCACTCAAGCTGAGCCCCAATGCGAGTTTTCTCTGTGGCCTCCGGACGGCTACGCACTCAACCCGCATCTGGCTGAGGCATGGTCATGCGCTTGTCTCAACGAGGGGCTGGGGTCAAACCCGTCTCACGGCTTGCAGCCCTGTGCGAAGCTCCTTGGTGACCCAGTGGCCTTTAGTTTGCCATGCTCCCTGCTCCCAGGTGTTCGTGTACAGCGTGGTGCTGCCCCATCGTGCGCGCCGCAGACACCGCGGTCGTTACCATCTGAGGAGGGAATGCGCTGGCTTAGGACAGGTTGGACCAGCGATTTGCCAAATCCTTGCACACAGTTGTTAGAACGACTCCGAGGAAGCGGCTCAAAAGACACCGAAACGACTTTTACGTAAATGGGGAATGCTGCATCTGTGAGAAGATCGTGCGCTGCTTGTAGCGTTAGCCGTCTCATCCTACTTGCGTCCCTATTCGGTGCGGTACCCAGCACCGGCGCAGCGCCAACTTGTCCCATTCCTAGGCCACTTATCTCCGCACTGAGCCAAGCACGGTTGTCCTCTCGCCCTCCCTCAATGAGGACTGGGAGCATGAGGTCCAGTCTTGGGAGCCCAAAGCGTGACGGCTCAAAAGATCCATACCTCTCCGCGGGACAGAAGAGCATCTAGCCTTCAAGTAGCACGAGATCCTCATGTTTGAGGCACAGCTAGTGTGAATCATGTTGGTAGACGAGGAGGCGGCATGCTACATTGAGAATCACAGCGCCGACCTCCAACCAATGCTCCATGCACTGGAGGCAGCCTCGCTATCGACCCGAGCCCAGAATAATGGGGACAAGCTGGCTATGGTCAGAGCGGGCAAGAGGAGGAGGAGGGGGAGGAGGAGGAGTAGGAAGAGGAGCTGGAGCAGAAGGTCAAATGTGCGGTTGCCGCGATGAGGATACCATTGAGGGGGCAGCACATCGCAGTGGGAGGACAAACGAGGGACGAGGGTACGGCGTCGCCTCGCGAAAAACATGTTTGACACCGCGTCAATCGTTCAACGTTGAATCGATCGCGGCCCCGATCATTCAAAATTGAATTCCGTCGGGTCCTGTGGCCTTACCGCGTCCCTCGGTGCTTCCGCGTCGTTCTATCATGCGGGGTTCAAGCTTGAACGCCTTCGTCGGCGTCGCCGACTCGCCACCGCCGCACGGACCAACCGTACGAGGCGGGGAATGGCAACGTCTCGTTTACATGCACGCCGCCTTTATCTGGACGTGGCAAGTCGCGGGCACCGCCTCCCCGACCGCACTTCGGCGCGCCTGCCTCCACGAGCGGCTGGGGGCGAGCGCAGGCTGCGGCGGACCCTCCGAAAGTCGCAGAGAGGAACATCGACACAACTTCTGTAAGCATAGGCTTCTGGAGGTCCGCGCGGATGTCTTGGAGCAGCGCCGGGACCCCCTCCCGGACACGTGGAGCGCGCCAGGGGCGGCGCCGCAGGCGCCACCAGGGAGGCCCAGCGCCGATCCGAGAGGAGCTCCGGAAAGTCAGGGTAACATCGTTGTTGCTCTTGTTCGGAACTCGTTGGGTGGGCAACCCAGAGCACGGCCAAAACCACCGCTCAGCGCGTGGCCAAACAGAAGCATGGGCACCGGCGCGGGTGCTTCTCACAAGGGCCTTGTGTGAAGCACCCGCACCAGTGCCCGAGCGACTGAGTGGGACTGTGCCGGATGTTTACTGCTCTCTACTTTCGGGGGTCTCCAGAGGTCCCTGGAGGCCCCCGAGGCCCGGATAAATGGCAAACGTCCCAACCTGATCCTCCTCCTCCTCCACCTCCTCCTTCTCCTCCTTTACCTTCCGGGGTCTTTGGCCTTCAAGATTAGATCCCGACGTGTCTCGGACATTGTTTCTGAATCCCAACGCCTTTATTTTGTGTCGGCAACCAAGCGGCCGAGGTTTTCCGCGGGGCTGATCCCCGATGCGCACTGAGGAAACAAGTCACAATGATAATTATGGGACTGACGGATGGAGAAAGAAACACTCCGCCACAGCTCTGGGGATGCCGGACAAAAGTGGCCATCATAGTTCAAAAATGGGCCCAAGAAAGCTTTCAACTCAACTTCAAGATGCCCTCGAGAGAAAACCCCAAGATTGATACGTATTGCCCGAGTCAGGCTGAGACGACCACAAGATGCCCCACGACGGCCTCAGACCCGAGCGGAGAAGCCAACAATCACTGCGACACGCACTGCTTGCTTCTCTTCTGCGGAAAAATTGCACGCCTCCTGACCCTGAGGGGTCGCTGAAAGCTCAACGGCAGCCCGTGGCTCAACACATCCCAGCAGCCTCCCAAAACGCCTGCAAGGTGGCAGCCAGCTGTCCCAACAAGGCCAAAACGACGCCAAGACGGCTCGACAGCGGCCCAACAAAACGGGCCAGTCATCGCCCCAAGATAAGATGGTTCAAGACGTCCCCGACAAATCCTAAGATGGCCCCAGGACGCCCGAAAACACTTCTCTAAGACGGTGGCAAAACGAGCCGAGACGGTTTTGATACAGCCCTGAGAACTCCAAATCGGCCAACAGCGGCCATAACCTGCTCCTTGGACGACTCGAACACGGCCCCAGACGGTCTCAACATGGCCCACCGATGCGGGCTCAAAACAATCGCCCAGAACGGCCGCCAGTTCGGCCAAGGCGCAAGACGCTCGGAAACGAGCCCCAAGAAGCCTACCACAGGCCGTCCCCACGAAGTTGCAGAACAAAAAAAAAACACAAAGGAGGCCCCAGGCGGCCTCAGCACAACCCGAGATGTTTTCCAGAAGGTCCCCCGGTTGCCCCAAGATTGGGCCCGGGCCTCCACAGATACGCCGCCCCCCCAAATGATGAAGGCCCGTGTGTCCAGGCCAAGGGTTGTCGAGGGGGGAGGGATCGCGATCATCCGCCCGTGGGAGCCCCCCGTCAACGGGTGGAACCCCGTATAAGACGCAGTTCAAGGGCGATGACAAAACTGCTACTGATGCCCATGGTGATGCAAGTAAAAGGTACACCCCGGACTATGAAATACAAAGTCGTGTGAATGTGATGATGAGGGCATGGTGATGATGATGGATGCGGGGAACAATGGTGCATATTCGATGGTTGATTGCTGGGCACCTGAATGATATGAAGTTATGGTGTTTTCTTGAGCACCTGCCAATCTGCAGTTCAGCAGAAATAACATTGAACGAGGTGTAACACTGTAGCAAACAAGCAAAGACACACCACATAATCCATACCAACACTCACGTTCCATATCAAGCTTGCCTGCACTGCCCCCCTCCACCGCGCAGGGCAGACACGCATTGTTCAAGGAGTCCTGCCTGATGGCACAGATTGAACTCATCGTTGTCTGCTTCGATGTCACCGGACACTGAACTCTCGGGCACGTCAAAGCCGCCAACATGGCGGTCGAGGTGAGATCAAACATTGTCGGAGAACCTGTGGAACATCATCGGGCGATCAATTGGAGAGAACGCGCAGTCCCAGCATAAACTCCTTTCACCACGCAGACCCCATGCCATAGCCTCCCGGCCCGATGCCAGAGGTAAAAAGCCAGGCCGCAATGCCAGAGGTTGGGATGGACTTGTGAAGTCAGACTTCGCATTCCTGAGGGTCAAGTTGTTGACTGGCACAGAAGATATCATCCAAGTCGTGGCTCCACCTTGGGATGGGGTGTCACCGCTGATGAGTCCATGCACCGCAATGCCCGCGTCTGATCCAGCCGCCTCCCTTGGGGCAACTTTGTATCCTAGGTTTTATGTTATCTCTCTCTGTCGAAATAGAAAATTTTGAGATCGCCCCAAAAACAAGAGCGTTGGCCTCCTCGCCGCGCAAGAACCCCTGGATGCCCTCGTCACTATCCACAGGGGCCTGCATCACCTCAGCGTCCCAAGCTTCTGGCACTTGCTACCTGATAACTCGCGCGGGGCTGAGGGTGCCCATCAATGTTGCGACGCGACCTGCTGATACACCGATCGAAAAGAACAGCCGCGATGGATCTGCATCAGACACCCCGCGAATACACGCGAGAAAATGCGCCAACGCAGCTGCATATATGATCCCTGCGTGGAAACGCTGACAAGAGCTTAGTCGAGGTGGCAATCGAAGATCTTTGCCACTCCCAAGGGACATGTTCCACCCTGCTGCCGTTGAAAACTGTTTGCAGAGTCTATGTGGCAGGTTCAACCCGATCCCCGACCCCATATGAAGCCCCTTCTTAAAGTCTCCGAACCAGGCACGCTGAGTCCATGTGAAGTTGCAGAGCACAGCCAGGAATGGCTGCCAGTGCGTCTCCCCTGGATTCGACCTGGGCCCCATCCGCGCAACCTCTGTCATCCAGATCGGATCGAGAAGAGTTCGCGCATGATGCCACCAATGGCATCGGTACCCTCCTCGAATTGACGTGGATGATAAAGATCAGCGCTGGTGGGCGCCAGGTTGACTCCGTCCACCGCCATCGCCGTCGCCGCCTCCAGGAAGTCCTGCGTGTCCGCCAGCATCTCCGCCCTCAGCTCCACCGCCGCCACCGCCCGGCGCGGGCGGATCGTCGCCGGGCCCCCCAGCTCCGCTGCCGTCTTCCAGGGCATGCGGTGGGTCACCAGGGTCATCTGGGCCGTCGCCGTGGGTTCTCAAGTTCACGCATTGTCGACGCTTGGACCACGGGTCAGAGGGATACTCAATCTCTCGGCAAATCGGATCCCAGTTTCCTCTGGCAACCCTTGTCCCGGGATGCAGACGCACGCCGAGTGTTTCTACCGTCAACTTTGGATTGCTCCCGGACTGAAGCTACTTTTCCATCTCAACCAGACTTGCCCCATCGTCGCTGTTCAACATGACCTCGAATATGCTGCGCCGAAAAGCTAGGCTGTCATATGCTTCGCTGCGGATTCGTCTCCCTGCTGTCTTGGTATTAACCAGTGCGGGCCCATCTTCAATCCCGCGCTCGGGGCAGGATCCGGATGTCAAAGCTGCCGATCAGGCCTACAGCATCGCGAACTGCGTAGAGGCAGCGCCGTCGACGAAACTTTGCGCCGCGTCGCGAAGGAGAGGCTTGGCCCTCAGCTCACGAGCGCGCGGGCGCCAGCAGGGCGAAGTCAAGCGCCGCTGCAAAGCCCCGCGCTGGGCAGCTGGATCACGGCGAGCGCAGGCGAATGAGGGGTCTCCGCGCACGAACAGAGATCGAAGGAAACCTGGAACGCTAAGAAAACCTTGCCTCTCTCGAAACACCGCGGCAAAAAACCCTCGGCAAGTGCGTTCATGCCCCGCGTGAACTCTCGAGCCGGAGTAGTGGTGAAGAGTTGGCTAATGGCCCTGGAGGTTCTTGAAAAAGTCGCCGGCTGCCAACTCGCAAAGGCGCACGCCCCTCGGCGGGCGCGATTTCCAACGTTCCAAATGCGAATGATTCGGGCCCTCTACACTCGAGGCCGCCGGCAACCAGCGGCGGCGGCAAGGGCGACCCTCTGCCCTGATAAGTGGCGCGCGGGCCAACTCGCACAGGCGGTCGAGACAAATCGCTCTGCCCCGCCACTCTACCGAATTTACGCACTTGTTTGGCAAGGCGATATCGTTGCTCTTCATTGTCTTGCCCCGTCGATCAGCTCGCTCAGCTATGCCCGAACGCCGCCAGGGATCCCAACGCGACCCGAAGGCAGTTTCAATCTCCAAGACCTGCTCTCAGCAAAACGCAACAGTTCCCAAGCGTTCCTTGTAGACGCCCCCGTGGGAAGGACTGGGTGTCCTGCGTGAAAGCCGAGGACGAGTGGCCTGAGAAACGACCCTCGGTGATTGTTGATTTCGCGCGCCCCTGCTGCAAGCGCCCAGCGACCGCGGCGACGCCGCCGACGGCCTCGTCGAGCTCAGCGCAGCAGGCTGCGAGACAATGTCCAATATTATGCGCGATGTGTAGGCTCAGGAGCGCAAATTGATCTCCGCGCGCTGAGATGCGCATCTCCATCGTCGCGACCTGGGCGTTGACAACCGCGGATGCCAAGGGCCGGTGCCTCGCCATCTGGGAACGCCGATGGGATTGCATCCACAGTTTTCATTGGCAACGCTCACGGCGAACTGAACTCGACTCCAAATCTGACGCCCCAACTGGAGGATTATCTAAAGGCGCGCCCGAGACCAACCACATAGCACGCGCAACAACAAAAAACTTGTACCTCGACGTTGCCCCGCCTGAGCTCGAGGCAATCGGCGGACTATGCTCTCGTGCGAAGACGCGTCTGAAATCGTCCATCTATCTGGTTTCCGACCTGTAAGCGCCCTCGTCATCATCGACGTTGATGAGGTCGATCGGTCGGCGCCGGTGTCGGACCATGCGCTGAGCGATTGTCAGGATTTCCGGCACCTTGGGCTTGGGAAGAGATCTAACGCGAACCATATGAAAACCTCCCCCACGCGGCATTGACAAGTCCGCTACGGAAAAACGAACGCACCCTTGACCGCCAGAGAATTTCTCGTCAAGGTCCCTACCATACAATGACAGAGTGCCGTCCAACATCGTCCTCCATCGGGAACCGTCTACTTATCAATTCAGAGTTTGGCATTTACTTCAGCCTACTCTTTACAGAATGCCACCAAGGTTGGCGGTAGTGCAATATTGATCGCGTACATGATGAGCTTGCGCATAATCCCAGAGTGTTGCAGCAAGTCGCTCAACGTGAATGCCTTGATGATCTGCCGGGTTCTGCCTAACGTAGCGTGTCCCATAAGTTGACGGTTACCCTTTTTTCCATCGAATCATCTGCTTGTGAAGCTCTGCCACGCTGAGCTGCAAGCCGCGGCGCTGGCGCAAGAGGAGGAGGCAGTTCCAATTCAAACAACTCAGGCCGGATACACGAGCACTTGGCATCTTATATGTTGCATCGTGCGGCAGACGGATGTCAGCCCTCACTTTCTTCGAGCATAAAAGTGCATACGGAGACGGCACGCGCAACGCTGCTCAAAGAAACTCATGGGGCCCATGTAGACGGTAGACATCCGCGAAATATGGTTTCCATGTAGACGGTACACATCCGCGATACTTCCTGCTGCTGAACTGCTACAGGGGCTGGAGACCTTCCAAAAGAGAGAAGGCGATAATCCTCAATCGCAGTAGCCGTACAAGTGGGCAACTACTGGCTCAGAAGCCATACTTCTCTCGCATGGGCCCATCAAATATTGTCATCATATGTGTGACCTTCCACACGGATATAATCACAGCTGCGGCGTTGACTCGATTGCCCATATACACACGTCCATCACATTGGTCCAACGCTGTTCGTACCACAGGCGTGCTCGCAAGCTGCTTCACATAGATGTGTTTTGTTGCGCTTGTCTCCAGATTTGATGGAATCAAGAATGGATGTACTCCAACAGAGCGTACCCTCCTCCATGGACTAAAACGGCAGCGGGATGAATGCGTAATGCTACTTATCCGTTTTCTGGTTTGTGTTTATGTGTTCGTTTGGGGTGGTGCTGCACAAGGGAGGGCTGGGAGGGCTACCCAAGGTATGCAGGTGATGTGGTGTGGGGGGTTGTTTGTCAAAGCGTCGCTGTACTGTACAGTCTGTATATAAATATATGTCTGTAAATGTGTGTGGCCCCTTGTCAATTATATTCCCCAAAGAGGCTTGCAGGATGGGGCCTCGAACCCAGACCCTACTAATTGGTCCGTTGCCCCTGCCCCCCAAAATCCTACGCCCCCCCCAGGATTCCTATGGCTATGCCTCTGCCGATGCCTATGCACCACCTGGAGCGCTCCTATGCCTATGCCTATACCTATGCCTATGCATTTGTCCAATGGCACCCCCCCTTAGTTCCAATGACACCCCCCCTTTCCTCCCTTTTTCCAATGGCGCCTCTTTTATTTCCAATGGCGGCCCCGAGCGTGCTTGCTCTTGCTTGCTTGCTCTTGCGTGCTTGCTCTCGCTTGCTTGCTCTTGCTTGCTTGCTTGCTTGCACTTGACCGCTGGCTCTTGCTTGCTTGTTATTGTTCGCTTGCGCTTGCTTGCTTCCGCTTGCTTGATTGCGCTTGCTTGATTTTGCTCCTCCCGTCTTCCTCCCGTCCTGCTCCCGTCCTCCCTTCGTCTTCCTCCCATCCTCCTCTCGTCCTCCTCCTGTCCTCCTATCTATTTGGAGTCAACGCTGGCTGATATATGTGTTTGATATGTTGTGTCACGCTTGACCTGTTAGTGTCGCGTAATAGGATGATTTGCTGTGATGCCCTTCAGCGATGAAGGTCCCTTCAAGCCCTCAACGGCGCTCGGGGGGGACGACTTGTTAGAGATGGATGAGGGCGATAATGATGATGTTGATTTGAGGCTGGAGGAATGAGGAACCCGAGAGGGGAAATAGTTGATGAATTCCATCAGGAGCATGATGAGACAATGCCGCATCACGAACGAATCCCTAGATTTCTTGAACGACGCGTGTCCGGCATTCCAAACTCCAAGCGTTCTACGACCCTCGGATATTTGGCTCATCCGTTTCACCTCAGACACGCCCCCTTGCATTTTTTCGTAAACGTTGAAAGTGTGATCCGAGGGCTGGCCCACGAAGGCTGATTGTTGTTTACGCGTCAATTGTCTGTAAGGGAAACTTAAGCCAAACAGCCACATACGAGGGCATATACATTGATTATAATGCCTGATGTGCGGCTTCAGGCCCACTCTGGCAGGAACTACGAACTATCAGCCCACAAATCACAACGCACACAATTGGGCGAGATGGAAGGATAGGAGACCGCATCAGGTAGCCCGCAGGGGTCTGACAAAGGTCTCGCGTGCAACTCAGCAGCATACCCCCTCGGAGGCCTGGCCAAGAATACGTGGTCGGCGCTGGACCCCTCTGGCGGCGATTGCGGCGCCGGCCCTGGTTCGCGTCGCGCGCCCGTGGGGGGAATTTGGCGCCGAGCCAGACAATCAGCGCAAACATGCGACAGACCATTGTTGGGCACTTGTGTAATCCAAAGCCCAGATACGCACCAGGGCAACTCTGCACACGGGCGCGTCATCGCGTACACCACGCGTCTGCTATCGCGCGCGCTAGCACACGCCAGCGCGCGCCCACACACGCGCCCGGACGCGCGCGAGCGCCCGCGGGCGCGCGGGCGCACGAGTGCGGCGCGGGCGCGCGCGCCCGCGCGCGCACACGCCCGCGCGAGTCCGCGCGGGCGCTCGCGAGCGCCCGCGGTCGCTCTAGCATGCTTGGGAAGCTTGCAAGGAATGCTAAGGAGCTTTGCCCAAGCGACCACGCAAGCTTTCGGAGCGGCCTGGGCGCTGCCCGCGAGCGTAGGAAGCCCTGCATAGAAGGTGCTGTGAGCTGCGCGCGAGCCTGGGAATCGCTGCGAAGGAGCTGCGCAAAGACCCGCGGCACACGCACTGGCAACGAATCGGAAGTCGCTGCCGGAGAACGCTGCTGGCCCCAGCAAGGCGCTGCGGCGCTGCCTGACCGGCAGCCGCGGAGAGAGGAAACTGGCCTAGCCCTGCCTGGCGGCTTCTTCTCTTAAGTCCTTTCATCTCTCCAAGGAGCTAGCCCAGAATGTCTGTTAACCTTCTAAGATTACTTAAGAGAGCAGAGGTAGCGGGGCGTGTCTGTTCCAGAGGATGGGGCGGATAGGATGGCTCTACGGAGGGGGACGATGGAACCAATGAAGGAATTGAGTTGACCACCCAACCTCCCGACGCCGTGATGTCGTTCACCACGTGGGCCCAGTGATCGAACCGATCACCAGGACATGTTCGTCATCGCAGATCGGTTCGTGATGGCCCCAGAGGCGTAAACTCCGAAAATCTGGCCATCGTGCATGGTTCAGGACGCCAGAGGTTTGGGTCCGCAGACAACCCCTGGAAGATGTCACTGAAACAGACCTCCAGGGGGCTCCGACGCGTTCTGAGGGAAGTGTGGCGCGGGGCCTCCCCCCTCCCCGTCGCCCTCTCCCCCAACCACCCTCCTCCTTCTCGTTTCCCTCCTCGTTTTCCTCCTCATCATCCTCCTCCACCTCCTCCTCCTCATCCTCCTCCTCTTCCTCCTCCTCCTCCTCTCTCTCCCACTCTTCCTGTTCCTCCTCAGCCTGTCCTATTCCTTCTCCCTCCACGGGACATGCCCTGAAAAACTATCCCTCCCCTTCCGCCGCTGGCTGTTGGCCGTGCAGCCCGGTGCTCCAAAGCTCCCGGATGCAGTCCCTGGAGCCCAGCCTTGGAAGGACTCTGCGGTAGCAACCTCGGAGCTGGGATGGGCCCTCACAGGCGCGGGCCGCGCAGTTGTGGACGTGGCAGCGCGCAGGGCAACCCTGTGGATTCTGCTAGAGGACGATCTGTACGGCGCAATATTTCGCAGGTCGCAGGAGGAAGGCCATCCTTCCTGGGCCGCGGCATCGCTCCGTCTTCTCCAGGAGTGGGGCGTTGACGACTGGCCCTGTTGGCAGGCGCGGCACGCGGGCAACGGGGCGGCCTACAAGCACTATGCCAAGCAGGTGATCACGGGGCACTGTCTCGCAGCGCCCTGGCGGGCCACCCATATTCCCAAACGCGGCCTCACCCGAGCCTGGATCGTGTGGAAGGACTCAACCTCGGGCTCCCCGCCCCATGTCTGCGAGCCCAACGTGCAGTCTCACGCCGTCGCGCAGGTCTACTGGCACTCACACTCCGGGGCCGCAAGCGCTCATGAGCCGAGCAGCAACTGTGCATCTTCTGCGACGTAATCGTGGCCGTGGCTGGCAGTGTCGCCCACGTCCTGGATGCCTGTAGGTCCTGGGATGCATCGCGAACGGCCCTTCGCTCACTCAGGGCGTGGGCGCGGCAGCTCCAGCAGCGGACCTCCTGGCAGCCGTGCCGAGCGCGCCGTCTACGAGCAGCTGGCGGGGTGGGCGGCGGCCTTGGACGCCAGTGCCAGAGACTTTTGGGGACGCGCCCCGCAAAAGGTGCAGCTGCGACTGCAACCTCGCCGTCTCCCCTGCCCCCCCCCCATCGCGCGGGCCTGGCCTGCCTGCCCCGGCCGCCCTCCCGCCCAGAGATCGATGGCGGGCGCCGCGCCGGACAGGTCCCGCCCGCTTCCCCATCTGGACTTTCCCTCCTTCGGCCTCCTCCCTCGCCTTCTCCCTTCCTCTTCCCCCCTCCGATTTGTCCCCTCCCCTTTGGGGGCTGGATTTCTTGGCCGGGGCCAAAGGATGGAGCCGATCGAGGTAGTCAGCTTCCGTGGGAGGCGCGCGTTTAAAAAATAGTTCCCCTGCTCGGGCGAATCGCGGGGTGGCGCCCGCCAGATTGAAAATCAACGGGGCGGCGCCGGTGATTAGCGCCGACGCCCGGCCGCCAACGAGGGGCAAAGGGCGGGGGGCTTGGAGGCAAGGGAGAGCCATGGCGCCCTTCGTTTTGTCGAGCCGATGCGGGCCTGCGGGCAAGGCGGGCTGGACGAAAGTGGGGCGCAGCAAAGGAGGGATTTGCCAAGCAGCTCACGTCGCCGACTTTCCAGGCGCCTCCTGGCGCCGCAAGCGGCCATGCGTCGAGGACTGGCCCTTCGGCGGGGCGACCGAAACCAACTGCGCGCAACAGGCTTTGCATCCCCCCCTTCCTCCTCCTCCTCCTCCTCCTCCTCCTCCTCCTCCTCCTCCTCCTCCTCCGCCTCCTCCTCCTCCTCCTCCTCCTGCTCCCTCTCCTCCTGCTCTTCCTCGTCCTCCTCCTTCTCTTGCTTCTCCCCCCTCCCCCTCCTCTCTCCTCCTTCCCCTTGGCGCGCGTGATTAAAAAAGTATCGCGCCCCGTGGGGTCTATTCATCAGCCCCGGGGGTGGGAGGGGGGGAGACTTTTGTTAATCACAAGCTGACATTCTGCCCCCGCGGGACAGCAGAAGAAGCCGTGACACCCCTGAGGGCCTGCCCTGAAGGGTGGGGTGGAGGAGGATCGGCCCTCTTTTGAGACACCTCTTCGGTGAGACACCTCTTCGGGGTGCCGTGCCGTGCGAAGCCCGCCGTCTTTGCTGTGCCGTGCGGAGGTGTTCAGGCGATCGTAGCCGTGCTTCGTGTTCGGTGCTTGGAGCCGCGGTGCTGCTTTTCTTTCGGATGGTGTTTGGGGCCGATGTTACGGCACTCCTGGAGCTCTCCGCCCCTTCTTGGGGTCTTGGCCTTTCCTCAGGCCCAGCGCATCGTATGCGCCTCGGTCTGCTGGCGGTCCTCTGGAGCTCTTGACCCTGAGGTGTGGGTTCTTTCCCCCCAATCGCTCCAGGAGGGGAGAGACGAAGGCCTCGACCAATGCGCAGGATCGAGTTCCTCTGGCCCTTTTCCTCCCTCGCCAGTTCTCCTGCTCCTCTCGCCTCCGTCTCCCCCCTGTCGGCGATCACTCAGCCTGCCCTAGCCCCGGAGGGTGTCGAGGTGGCTGGGGTCGTTGCAGCATGGGGGGCCTGAGGTCGGAGGTGGCCGGTCTGTGTGGGAGGGGCGGCTGGAGAGGGATGCTGCAATCTTCGGCAGACCAGCCTGACCCGGCCTTCAGGATCGGGGGTGGCAGGGGTCGGCGCGGCAATCGGAATCAGAATGGATCGCGTGGCCTGGAATCCTCCGTCGCTTCTTCGGCCGCCACTCTGCCCCGACCCTCCGCAGGTCGGGGGTGCCTGGGGCTGCGAGACGGGCTTCTGGCTCGGAGTGAATCCGTCTTGCAGGGAGGTCAAATCCTTGGGATTAAGGGGGGATGCCAGGCTTCGATTATCCCCCTGCACCTTGGCTCGATCTGGCCTGCTGTAGGGCAGAAGAGCGGGGGCACGAGGTTAGCGGAAGGTGGTCCCCAATGTCTTTCTTCCCCGAGGCCATCTCGCCACCGTCTCCGGCCGCAAAGTCTACCCCGAATGTCTGGGGAGTCTAGGGTCGTTGCGGTCGGGGGATTGCTTTGGCAAGGGGCGGATCCAGTGGTCACCGCCTACCACGCGGGCAGGCTGCGGTATGCCTTGCACGGACTAGCTGATTGTCCCCAGGGCGGATCCTTTTTAGAGCTCCTTCCTTGCATCCGAGTGCGGCTCGTCGGGGACCTCTCTGGTGTTTGGGTGCTTCCCCTCATCCTCTGACCCGTCTGCCTGCAGGCCCCAGGGGCAGCTGCAGTGGTGGATTCCCTCCACTCACCAGAGCAGTGTCCGAGGAGAGCTGGGCCAGGATGCAAGGAAAGGCCATGCCGAGGAGGGTTCCCCTCACGGCTGCCCTCTGGCAGCTGCCCCCGCAGCGCCCACTCTCCGACCACTGCGGCCGCCATCTATCCCTTCCCCCTCCTCCTCCTCCTGCCCCCTTAACCCTCCTCATCCTCCTGACCCTTTTCCTCCTCCTCTCCAGCTCCTCCTCCTCCTCCTCCTCCTCCTCCGCCTCCTCCTTCTCCTCCTATCGTTCTATTCCTCATCCTCAAGAAGATTGACCTCCCTCCTCCCTTCGGACATTCCATCTGCCTGCAGCCCCCCATAGTCGAGAAAGACGAGGCGCGGGGCCGCGCAACGCGCTGGCTGTCCTCCCGCGCCTTCCGCTCCTCTGGGCGTGGGGGGTGCGAGACGCAAAAGGCCTCCTCGTCCTCCTCATCCGCAGTAGTTTCCCTCCCTCTTGCTCCTCTTCCAGCTCCTCCTCCTGCTCCTCCCTCCCCTCTTCCTCCATTTTCTTTTCGACCACCACTTCCTCCTCCTCCTCCTCCTCCTCACCTTTCTCCTTCTGCTTCAGTGCCTGGTGCGACTGGGGCAGAAAAGTAAGCAACGATCAGAAAGAGTCATCCCCTGCCACGAAGACGAGTAGAATGAGGGGCTCCGTATCTGGAATCGCCTGATCTCGCAAGCGCTGATCTGGCCTGCGGGTAATGCTGCTTATCATCCTTCTTCTCCTCCTCCCTCCTTTCCCTCTTCCCTCCCCTCTCCACTTATCAATGTTCCTCCTGTTCCATACGCTCCTCTCTCTCCCTCCCTTTCCATCCTTCCCTCCCCTCTCCTCCTGTTTCAATCATCCCTCATCCTCCTCCGTTGCCCTTTCCCTTCTTCCCATTCTTCCCCCCCCCGCCTCCTCCACCCCACCCCACTCGTACCTCCCCCTCCCACCCCCGGTCCAGGAGCGACCGTTTTTCGGCGCCGGGTCCCCGCAGTGACCGCTCCGGGGAGGCTCGGTGCTAAGCTCTGCAGCCTTGCGCGGGCTTCCAGCTAGGCTACGCGAGGACGAACTGCAGCCACAGGGGGAGAAGCATCGACCTGGAATCGGATGTGCATCGCCGATAGATCGGCGATGGGTCCTCGAAAACATACTCGCCTGGGCGGGGGGGCACCCGAGCCCCGAGTGGCGATGAATGGGCGATTGGGGGTCGATGTTCCCCCCCGAGCCAATCCCCCCCCCCTAACGGCCCCTGAGTCTAGGACGAGTCTCCCTCAGGACCCCTCCCCTTCCCCCCTCCCCAGACATCCGGTGCCACTTCGGTTCCTTACTGGTTACCCCCCCCCGAAAAATGCTACAAACTGGGTCCCGGGGAAGCCCTGACGACGCCGCAGACGGCCCGAAACGTTCCCTCGCTCTGCTTCCGCGGCGCGAGCATGTCTGGGTCCTGAGCTAGAAGCCTCCCAGATAGGTTCCGAGCAGATGGGGTCAGAGGCGGCGACGTCGGCGATGCCTCGGCGCCACTGAGGAGGAGGAGGAGGAGGAGGAGGAGGAGGAGGAGGAGGAGGAGGAGGCAAAGGAGGAGGAGGAGGAAGGAGGAGGAGGAGGTCGTGGAGAAACTCGTTCTCCACACCGAGCTGCATCGCCGATGCACCGGCGATGCGGAGCGAGCCTGCGCCCCCATCTGCTCGGACCCCATCTGGGAGGCCAAGATCACCACCCCAGCCTCCAGCCTGCCGTTGTGGGCCACACGCAAGAGGTGACCTTGGGCATCTGTAGCCCTTGGTGCGCGGTTTTTGTTGGGGTGCGCGGGGGGGACCGAACACTTTTGATCCGCGGGTCGAGAGCGCACCTCTTCCGGTCGAAGCTAAGCGGGCCGCGCGAAGCTTGAATTAGGCGGGGGGCACCAACCACAAAGCGCGCAAGACGCTAGTATCGCACCGCGCTCGGCAATCGGGGGGCCCCCGTGGGCCTGCACCAGAGGCCACTCTGGCGAAGGGTCACTCTTGCGTGCAGTCGGACTCCAGCCTGCCCCTGTCCCTGACCCCCCCCCGCTGCGCGGTCCTCGGCCCACGCCTTCTCCATGTCCGCCTGCGCGCCGCCGCGCCGCGCGAGTGCGCCCCCAGGCGGGGCCCTCCCCCGGGCCGGGCTAGGGAACGCCCCGCCGCACATCCTGGCACGGCGGCGACGGGTCGGGGGCCCCGCAGCTCCGATTCCACCACGCAACACGTGACGTGTTGACACGGAGCTCAACACGCAAACCGAAACCGTGTGTCTGGCGCGGCACGTTCGCCAAGGCGTGGGCCAACGCGCGACGAGCCAACACGCAGCGAGTTCACGCTGACGCTCTGAACACGGTACGTTCTGCGTTGTAGTACGGGCGTATCGGGGCAGCAAAGTCGGGGGAATGAGGCGGGTCCTGGGTGTCCTTCTCCGCTCCCAGGCCCCAGGGGGCCCTCTGCGGTCTGCGGGGCCGTCAAAAAACGGCCCGGAGGAAAAACAACCGTTTCTTCCGGAGGGGGCTGCAAAAACAACATCAATGGCACGCCTCTGTGGGAAATGCAAGACAGTTTGGCCAATCTGTGCTCCTCGTCATACTCTTCTTGGGACTCTCAACGTGTTTCATGCGAGTTCTTCGCGGCGTCTGGCCACACCTCTGGCTGTGGGGGTCTCGTTGCAGGGTCGGTGGCACCAGCCGCAAGGCCTTCACAATCCATCACCGCGTCACAGCTGAAAAAAACATCGAGTCTTCGTGCAAGAGCGAAGGAGCAACACGCTGGCGGGGTACTAGCGGCGGCGTGTCATTGATACTCGCTTTCCCTCCCGACTCCTGCATTGCGATGTCTGGGCGGACGGCGTGACGGCAGAATGCAAGTCTGTCAGCCTCTGATGGGCGCCCCGAGGGGGCGGGCGAGCGGAAGAAAGGAGGGGGAGGGGGCATGGGGGGAAGGGGCATGGGCAGCGAGGGTGGGGCGCGACTGACACATCACGCGTCCTCCTCTTCCTCCACCCTCACCTCCTCATCGATCCTCGGCACACTTCCTTCTCGAGACTGAATACTCCTCCTCCCCTCCCACTCGATCCTCGATCCTCGCCCCTCGATCCTCCGCCTTTTCCTCCTCCTCATCATCATATTCCTCCTCCTCTTCCCCCTCCTCCTCCTCCTCCTCCTCCTCCTCCTCCTCCTCCTCCTCCTTTCGGCTTTCGTGGCATTGGATCTGGCGGTCGGAACTGCCATCCCATCCCAAAGAAGCTCCTCCTCCTCCTCCTCCTCCTCCTCCTCCCGGCTTTCGTGGCGTTGGATCTGGCGGTCGGAACTGCCATCCCATCCCAGCGGCGCTCTTCATTATCCTCCTCCTCGTCCCTCCTCCTCCTCTCGACTCAGGTGGCATTGGATCTAGCGGTCGGAGCTGCCATCCCATCCCAGCGGTGCTCCTCCTCCTCCTCCTCATTTTCCTTTTCCTCCTCCTCCTCCTGGATCCCCGACCTTCTTCCCTCTTCGATTACTGAAGTGGGGGGGGGTCTGTGTTTGACTCGGACCACGCGCGCTTCGTGCGCGGCAAGCTCCTAGCACGCCCTTGCCCTCGACAGCAACACAACTGCAAATGTGTACACAAAAACGCATGTATTGATTATGAGTTGTGACGTCATCGAGAAGGATATCCTCAGCTCATGACCCCTCTTCGTCCCCCTCCTCGCCCTCCTCCTGCTCCTCATGCTTACGCTTCCCTTGCATCCCCTATACTGCCTCCACGTCCTGGTCATCGTCCTCGTCCTCCTTCTCTTTCTTGTTGTATCATCCTCCTCCTTCTCCTCTCCTTGCGACTGATCTTAAGCCTTCTCTCTCGTCTTCCTAGACCCCCCCCGTGTCCCTTTCCTTTCCTCTTCGTGCTCGTCCTCATTCTCCTGCACGGAGGACTGATCTGGGCGACACCAGGGACCCTCTCGGACGTCGCGCGAACCATCTCGGAGACTTTTTGGTATTCTCTTGGATCGTCGTGAGATCCTCGGGGATGGGAAAAACTACGAGAAAATTCCAAATGGCCTTCGGCCGAAAACGCCACCGTGTCGTCGTCGCCGCCATCACCGTGGCCCCCGTCGTCGTCCTTGGCCGTCGCCATCGCCGTCGTCGTCGCCGTCGCCGCCGCCGTCGCCCTCGCCGTCGCCCTCGCCGTCGCCGTCGTCGCCGCCATCGCCGTGGCCCCCGTCGTCGTCTTTCGCCGTCGCCATCGCCCGTCGTCGTGGCAGTCTTCGCCGCCGACGGTGTCGCCGTCGCCCTCGCCGTCGTCGTCGTTGCCGTCGTTCCGGTCCTCCCTCCGACCTGCGCGCTGCTGCGCGAGCCTGTTTTTCCGACTCAGTCCAGGTCACGCCCGCGCAGCGACGTCGCTCTGTTGGCGACGTCGTGAGGGGTACTTTTTCAAGCGGTCACCGTCTCTCTCCTGCAGCAGCTTCATGCGCTTCGGCAGCCCTTTGCAGAGACCATTAACATCGCACTCCTTGTTCACCTCCTCGCTGCAGCGTTTCAGTCACCGCCCAAACTCCTCGCGCGACTCTTCCCAACACTCCCGGGGCGTGCTCCGTGACGGCCTGTGACGCAGCCACAATACCGCCGTCCCATACACTCGAAAGTCTTGCAAATTTCCAGATTGCGACCCACGCAACCTACCAAAGCGATCCGCGTGGGTGGAGATCCTCAAGTTCTACCAGCATTCCCTGACTGTCTATATGAGCCCCCGGGGCTATCCTGCTGGGCAGGGTGGTACCGCGGCGCCGCGCCCAGCCGACGGCCGACGCGGCGCCGCGCGCACGGCCGCTGTGCAACCGAGAGCTGCAGCGGCCGTTCACTAGAGCTGCGCGCACATTACAACACATCGTTCTTCGTTCGCAGCGCCAGCGGTGGAAGAGTGCGGCTGGTGCCAGCGCTGGGTTGCTGCAAGGCTAACTGGGCACGTTTCTTCATAACGTCAACTCCAGCCGTGGGGACGTAGAGGTGGGGTTGGGGTAGAGGTAGGGTTAAGGGAAAATCGCCCTGGACGACGCCTGGAGAAGTAAAACGCCAGCCTCGAGCTGTGTACGCCCCCTACCCCACCATGGGATAACCCCCCGTCTACGTGGCCCCGACCCAGAGGTCTCGGCCCATTCCCAAGGGCCGATGCTTTATCCTGGGAAATCGTTTCACGGTCCCGAGGCCCAGCAAGGGCCCCAAGAGACAGAAAACCATGGCACATTGTCCGTCGTGAGTTTTCATGATTCGAGGGGGTCTGGGGTCAGAGGAACGCGGCCGCGCAGACCCACCTCACATCACACACATCACACACTAACAGACAGCACACCCATGCCCTGTAGAATCGAGAGGGGCGCTGCGCGCCATGCGCTGCTTCTGGATCTCCTCCTCCTGGGCTTTCCTGGCACGTCGCCCGGGAAGCGCACGAACAGGGCGCAAGAAGTCAGGATGGGAAGGGAAAGCGGTAAATAGAGAGACAGAAAGAGAGAGAGAGAGAGAGAGAAAGCAACATGGGTCGGAAAAACAGGGCGGACGAGTAGAGGAACGAGGGGCGGAACTGGAAGAGAAGAACGTCGAGCTGGGGGAAGGAATGTGGGGAACGCGGGACGGACGGGGGATGGAGATGGGAGAGGTGGAGGAGGAGGAGGAGGAGGAGGAAGAACGGGAGGAGGCGGAGAAGGAGGAGGAGGAGGAGGAGGAGGAGGAGCAACAGAGCAAGAAAGAGAGAGGGAGAGAGAGAGAGAGAGAGACACGGACAGTGGACGCGTGGGCCTGGCCGCGCCACGGCTACGAGAGCGCCGCGCGCGGCCCCCGCCCCTCCAGGAGCCGAGACACAGTTTTCGCCAGTGATTTTTCGCCAGCGACTGCTCAGACGTGAGACGAAGCCAGGGCGAGCACAAAATCGGGCGAAGATGAATCGAGAATCTCTGAGATACGGCGGCTCCCGAGGATGTCTCGGGCGCCGCGGTCTAGTCAGAGCGTTCCAGAACGCTCTGAGAGCGTTACGGGACGCTCCGGAACGGATTACTCCTCGTCCTGTCCGCGTTCGACAGATGGCTCTGCCCACTGGCGGCTGGTGAGGAGAGTCGTGACCTGGGTGGCCGTAGCACACTGGGGCCCAATGCCTGTGATGCGGTATCGTTGGACGGCTGGCGCGGCTGCCGTACCGCGCAACAAGACGGCGACGGCTCTGACCTCTGACCTCTGGTGTGTCACGCCGAACACGGGCGGCCTGGCATTTTTCACCGGGGGCGCCAAGCTGGTGGAATGATGTGCAGGTGTCGGCGAGGGTGGTGCTGGTGTCCTTGTACCAGATCGCGGTGACGTCGTCTGGGCGTGGTCCTAGTCGCGGCGGCCGAGTGCAAAAGCGGCGCCTGCGCGGCCTGACGCAGCCAGGACGGCGTCGGCGTCGGTGGGAGCAACGCCGAGGGTGACACAGAGCCTACGCTTTCGACACGTGGCCCCGTGTCGGCTGAGCATGGCGGGGCTTTCCTTGATGGCCAATGGAATAGTGCATGGTGAAGACGGCAGCGAAAGCGTCTTGCAAGGCCGCGTCCAGCTGCAATAGTGCCTGGTCTTTCTTGGTGGGATGGCGCCGATCCCGTGCGACAGCGTGGTCCCAACCTGCGTCGAATTCGCCGTTGCGTGCTCCGTTGGTCGGGGCGACGCCCGAGAGCTGCTGCGTGAAGAGCATGAGAATATCCTTGGACTGGGAAACGGCGTCCCCCTCGAGGGGCGTCGCCTGGATCCAGGTAGCTGCCTGAGGGGCGTCGAGGGCGACCTCGGCTCTGTTTTGTCTGCAAGTGGCCCCTGTACCTCCGAAATGGTAGAGGGTGACGTCCACGTGGGACGGGACAACCTTGGTGACTTGGGACACTCGGCCCAAGACAAGGACGGCCATCCCCATTCCTGGGTGGTCAACGGTCCCAAGGCCGAGGACGATGACAGTAAGCGGAATGTCCTGTCGGCGAAGTTGCGAAGGCAGCCATTCGCCGTCGTCGTGGCCGTGGAGCGAGACGCTGGTGACGAAGGCATACCCTTCTGCGTGGTGATGAAAGTCTAACCTTCTGTGTTGCGCGCTGTGTGAACTAAACACTCGGGCGGTTCAGTCGTTCGGGTCGAGGCTGAGGAGGGGCCGTTCCGCAGCGTCCGGCGCCACTCCAGTGCGGAAGCCCCTTGGTGCGCTGATGATGGTCCAGCGTCCGCCTAATCTTGCTTTCGCCACACAAGCGCTGGAGACTTGTGTTGACTTGGCTTCTGTACTTCTTTCTGGCGTGAAAAAAACCGCTGCGATATCGTCCAGGACTCTGGTCGGCAGCTCGCGGTATGCGCGTGGGGCACGGTCAGCACCACCTGCGCGGAGGGCAGCACCACGCGCGTCTTTGCGAGAAAACCCGAGTGTCTGTTCAGCGGCGCGTGGGCGCCCCCTTTGTCGGAGGAGAAGTGGTCGTCGCACGGTTGCCCTTGCCCGTGGCTGCAGCGCGAATGGGACATTGCGAACGAGCAGGTGCCATCTGGTTTCACTACTGAAAGGGTGACTTTGCGAGGACCCAGGGGGGTGAATACCTTCTCGGCTGCGCGACCACTATGGGGGGGGGTGCTTGAGACATGTCCAGGGAGAGAGAGAGAGAGAGAGAGAGGGGGAGGGAGGGAAGGAGAGGGAAGGCAGGATGGAGGGGGGGAGGGAGGGAGAGAGAGAGAGAGAAACAAAAAAATAAGAAGAAGAAGAAGAAGAAGAAGAAGAAGAAGAGATCCGCCGGCCCCCTTGCGGGGCCACCAGGCTGCGAGGATGAGAATTGCAGCTCCCTGTTCCAGTTGCAGTCTCAAGTTTCCACTGTTACAGTCCTGCTTTCTGCTTCCTTCCTCGTAAGTGTTGCTTAACGCGCGAGGGAGGGGAACCCCAAACCAGTTTTTTCACCACGCCCAGATCGCGTTGTCTGAATTCCTGGGGGGCGTGGGCCACGTAAAGATACAGGATATTCGCTTCCCCGAGGCCATACTCCCTGGTACATTACACCATATTCGCGTCCCCGAAGCCATCAACCTTCGTAAATTACGCGGTGCTCGCGTCCCCGAGTCCCTACTCCCTCGTAAATTACACCATATACGCGTCTCCGGAGCCATAAACCATGGTACATTACCAATAGCAGCGCCCTCGAGACCAGAAACCCATGTAAATCGATACATCCTCGCGACCCCGAAACCACACACCTTCGACAGCTACATCATGTTCGCGTCCCCGGGGCCACACACCCTGGCAGACTACACCGCGCGTGCGTGCCCGAGGCCACAGAACCCCTGCACCAAGACCTGCACTCCCGAGGCCATACGCCGGTGTAAGTTACACCATAGTCGCGCCCCCGAGGCCATAAACTCTCGTAAAGTACACACACATAGTCGCGCCCCCGAGGCCACACAACACAACGTAAGTTACACCATAGTCGCGCCCCCGAGGCCACACACACAACGTAAAGCCGGCGTAAGTTACACCATGAACTCTCGTAAAGTACACACAACGTCTGCGCCCACGAGGCCACAAACCCTGGTAATTTGTATGCAATATTCGCGTCCCTGGACCCATAAGCCATCGCGACTTACGTGATATTCGCGCCACCGAAACCACACGCCCTCGTAAATTAAGATTGGACCCTCGCGTGAAGCCCCGACATTGCTTCACGTCAGCGTCCAGGCATCCCAACACAGCTCTGGCAAGTCCCATTCTAAGAGAAGGGGGGCCAGCGGCATGGGGGCGAAGTCCTTACGGATAGAAGGAATGTAACGTGGCGGTGCCTGGTAAGCCCCTCGCAGTGCAATGATATTTCGCAAGACGTCTAAGTCTTCGCCGAAAGGGAAACATTTCTAAGAGCTGCCATCAACTGAAACTATCAGCCTCGTCATCACCGTCACACTTGAAATTCATCCAAGCCATCATACTCATGGCCATCGTCATCGCTGGCATCCTCATTACCATCATTATCAACATATGTGTGCCCGTCGCATGTGTCTGCTTCGCCAAGGCTCCATCACCACCGACGACCTCAAAAACACCGCCACCGTTACCATGAGAGTCGTAGCAGCCACCGCCGTCGTCGTCGCTGCGCGAGTCGTGGTCGACGCCGTGGTCTCCGCCGACTTTGCCTCGACCTAACTGCCGTCGTCATGGTCACAGCCGCCACAGATTGGCACGCCCGAAGTGGGTACCGGAAAAATGGTCACGATGCCAAACAGCAAACGCTGTATAAAAACAGTAGCGGCCGCTGTTGGGAGAGCGACTTTTTGCCGCAAATGGACCCTGCTCAAAATGGACAGAAACTGCTGCTGGACTTTGTGGTCGTCCCCGCCCTGTCAATACCCATTGCGATCCTCAGACCGAAATACTCCGGCACTGAAATTTGTTCGGTGCATGGATCCCACGAGGTCTGGACCACTTCCCTAGGGCCGGCCTTTCGTCCTGAGTAAGCTTTGACGGTCCTGGGGAACGCTGAGGGCCCCCGGAGGCCGAACAAAAGTCTCAAAATGGCTGCTCCATTTTGTTATTCGGAACCTCGGGCCTCTGGGTGCAATCCTGCAGAACTGAAGCCGTCGCCGTCCTCGCCGCGCCGCTTGCAGGAGGGCGGCCAGGCCCAGAGTCGGCTAGACGCAAGAGTGACCCCAGGCCAGAGTGACCCTTGGTGCGCAGCATGAGGGGTGCCTCGAGGGGGTCAAACCCAAGCGCGCATGCCCATGGTATCGCACCACTTTCAGAGATCGGGGGATCCCACTGGGCCCGCACAACAGGTCACTCTGGCGAAGGGTCAGTTTTGCGTCTAGCCGACGGAGGGCCGACCGCGGCGTCTCCTGCGGCGTTTGTCCTCGTCCTGCCGGTCCCGTTGCTTCCGGTCCTCCTGCGCCGAGCGGGCGCTCTCGAGAGAGGGGGGGGGGAGTCCGGGAAGCTCGGGGAAAGAGGCGGGCGGAGGAGCGGCGCAGGGTTGGCGCGGAGCAGGGGGAAAGGACGAGGAGGGGGAGGACGAGGAGGAGGAGGAGAACTGAAGCTGGGATTCAATCGGGGCAACAGTGTTGAGGGCCACAAGGCCCCAGACTCACAGGGAGAATATTGGGGCAGCGGCGTGATAAGGAGGACCGCACCTTCGGGGATTAGGGGTTAGACCCACCGATAAGGAGGACCGCACCTTCGGAACGACACGCTATCCAAAAATTCCCGACCGCATCTATTAGGGCAACCAAACGGTACCGATACCGCTACTCCCTGGACCTCTCCCGGAATGTGTGCTGACCACAATTTCGAAGTGAATCTGGCGGTGTTGACGAAGGCACCGAACGGCGCAGGCGAGGCCAGGGTAGCGGTCTGGGTGCCGTACCGCTTCCTCTTCTGAATTACCTCCGCCTCGGACCCCGCACCGCCGCGCGCCGCGCGAGGCCTCAGGCCTGCTCGAGCATCGCCCCGACAGTCTGCAGCGTGGCCCTCAGCGTGCGCTTCTCGCCGGCCACGACGCGCAGCGCCGCGGCGCGGCGCCTCGCTCCCGAGCCCGCCGCCGCCGCGGCGGCCTCGGCCTCGATGGCCGGCAGCCGCTCCTCGTCCTGGCTGCGCCAGGGGGGCATCCCGAACTCACAGCCGCTACTACGAGATTCGCAGGGGGCCACTGGCAGACCCCCTCGAGTCACGAGACAATTACGGCGAGAGGTGCTTCGCTATTTTCGTCCTCTGGGGGCCCTCGCTCACTGGGCCTCGGGAGCGTCCAAAACGACTCGGGACGAAACGCCGGCCCTGGGGAATGGGTCGAGACTCTTGGGGGCCGACATCATGACACAATCATGACGTCGGGGCTCTGGGGCATCCGAAGCCTCAGCGAGATTCGCAGAGGGCCACTCCGCGCACGAAGCACCGCCACCACGCCCGGCCAGGCCCATCTTCGGGGACGACGCGTGCGCCCTCTGGGCCGAGGCCCCGGACTGCCCGCACACCATGGCCGGGCCCAGGGCGGCCCCCAGCCAGGCACGGGTGCGGCGTGCAGGTGCGCTCTGCGGGCGGGGCTTCTGCCCCGAAGCCCCTTGGGAACGGTGGGCCTGGGCACCTCCCCGCCCGCGGGGGAGAGTCGGGCAGAGGCACCCGCGCGGGCGCTGGAGGCCCCTGGGGCACGACTCTCCGAGGCGGTGGGCACGTGGACGGCTGCTCTCTGGCGACGGGAAAGGTCCTGCTCCAGAGAGGCCGGGTAGCCCTGCAGCAGGGACGACAGGCTCGCCTGCAGCTGGGCCAGCGCGCCCCTGCGCGGCGACGCGCAAGAATGACCCGCTAGGCACGGGCGACCTCTGTGGTGCGCGACTCTCGGGGACCGTGGGGAGGCCAAACCCGGGCGCGACGGACGCTGCTATCGCATCGCGTTCAGTCATCTGGGGGCCCCCAGGTGCCTCGGGGATCTTCTGACCCGGGTCAGTCCAGGCCCGGGTCAGTCAGGCCTTGCAGGATCCGGGGAGATCCTGCAGGATCCTGCAGCCAAGCCCGGTCCATACAGCCCTTGCTCTGCAGGATGCTGCACACTCCGGCGCTCTGACTGACCCCCGGTTGAGTCCACCCCCGTCTCTTGAGCCCCAGGGTGCCCGCACCGAAAGTCACTCTGGCGAAAGGCCACTCCTTGCGTGCAGCCCGCCTGCGCGCGCCCGCGTCCGCGTCGCTGCGCGCCAGCGCCTCCTGGCTCGGCGCGCCGCCGCCGCAGCAGAGCCTGCCCAGGCGCAGGAAGGCCAGCACCCGCTCCAGCTGCGCTGGGGGCGCGCCCCGCGCGCCCAGGCGCACGTGCAGCGAAGCCTTGGGGCGCGAAGTCGTGGGAGGGCGACGAAGGAGGGCGGAAGGTGGGTGCTCGTCTCGCGCACGTCAGGGCCCCATTGGCAGGCCCGACCAGGCCTCTCTTCGGCAACCCTCGCTGCCCCCCCGCGTGTCGCCCCCACCCCCACCCGCAACTCGCGCCCCAGAAGCCTGGGACGCCTCCTCGTGCAGCTCGCGGTCGGCAGGCAGCAGCTCCAGGAACTCCGGCCTGTGAGAGCGAGGGGGGGAATCAGGGAGCCAGCCTGGCCAGTCACCCGTAGGGTGGAGACGACAGGTGCTCTCCCCCCTCGGAACGAGGGAGTACCAGCATCAGTAACGTGAGCACCTTGCGAGCCGGAAGGGGCAGCAGTAGAGGTCCGGATAGCCAAGGCAAGGCTAACGGCGATGTCGGTTAACGGCGATGTTGGAAATCTGGTTTCTGCGACGCCGGACTCGCGCAGAACAAACTGTAGGAAAACGCGAACAAGCCTTTCATACAAATGGGTTGGCCACGAACAACCCCCACCTACAATACCGAAATCTACATCGCGGTTACCTACATCGCCGTCAGCGCGTCTACGGGATAGGGTAAAACATTTGGAAAGAGAAAGTGCAGTCGGGCTTCTGAAAGAAGGAACGTTGAATGAAGAACAACGCCCCTCCTTGGGCCCCAAAGGAGGCCGCGTGGACGAGGAGCGCTAGAAACACAGCCATGGAAGGACCTATGGATCATCGAGCCCCTTCCAAACCCAAACCGTTCCTTGCAGTGCGTGCGCGGCCGCAAGAAACCCTCGCAAGAAACCCAGCCCTGAAACCCGCAGACGCGAGATGCAAGCGTGGGGAGCCCAGAGCACCCTGAACGCAGCAGCTCCTTCAACGGCCGCGGGAAGTCACCGCGCAGCGCGCGGAGCGAAGAAACTCAGGGTAGCCTGACGAAAAACACACGGTTTCTTGATGCGCGCCCCCACTGTAGGGAACATGGAGCCCCTTCGGAACCCAAACTGTTCCTTATTTCAGCGTCTTGTCTGTGCCCACACGGCCCACACGGCCTGGCGTCCTCCGCCACCACCGCGCAGCCTGGCCGCTGCAGGCCCGCGTCGAGGCCCCGCGCCAGGCCCTCGTACAGAGCCTGGGACCCCGCCACCACTGGGAAGGTCAGCGCGAGCTCCACGCAGTCGTGCGGGTTGTCGGGGATGACGATCGGGGGACAAAAGATACAATACACATGCGATCTTGGAGGTCCGCGCGGATTCCTCGGATTGGGGCCGGAAGCCCCTGGCGGTGCCTCCAGCGCAACCCCTGACGCGCTCCGCGCGCCAGAGAGGGGTGGCCAACGCCGATTCAATAGATTCGCGCGGATCTCAAAAACCTGTTGCTTATGCGCAACTCTTTGTTCCCCTGAGACGAAGCCCGCGTTCATCAGGAGGCGCCCGTTGGACGCCGCGCTGTAGGAGTAGAAGGCCTGCTCGCCCGCCTGGAAATCCCTGTAGGCGCGGATGACCAGCAGCTGGTCGCCCGTGCGCTCGCTCGCCTCCAGGTTCACGTCGTCGTTGCCGCACGGGGCGTCGGGGCTGTGATTGAACATGTCCTGCCCCAGCCCCAGCACGCAGAGTAAGGAGCCATCGGCCATGGCAAACTGCACCATCCGCGAGATGAGTATCTTCTGTGCCCACAGGAACTCTGTGAGGCCGATGTTGTGGCGCGCGAGGAAATCGCCGATGACCTCCTGCAGCTCCGAGAACTCCTGCTCGATGTCGGCCTTGCAGGCCAAGGCGACCTCGGCCCACTTGCTGCCTGCAAGCAGTCCCAGGTCCTCCTGCCCCCAGTCCAGCAACGTCTCGACCTCCGTGGCGACCAGCTCCGCGACGTGGTGGCTCCGGTACCTCGCCATCGCTCGGACGTCCATTCCCCGTGCATGTGTCGGCTTCGTGCGTGTCTTTTCGCTCGATGACCCTCGGGGTGGTCCTCGCAGGAAGAGACGCTCGTCCGATCGATGCCAAGGTACTCCTCGCCCGAGCCAGTGGCGCGCACCACCAGGATGTGCAGGGCCATGATCGGGTCGGGCGAAAGGGGGGGATAGCAAAGGGGAGGTTTCAGAATCAGCTCACGTAGCTGATTTTCCCGGCGCCTCCCAGCGCCAGAGGCAGCTATGTATCGAGGAATGGGCCCCTCGGTGAGGCCGAAACCAGCTGCACGCAGCAAATTTCGTAACCCCCCCTTTCCCAATCCCCCTCGTTCGTCCGGCCCGACATGAGCGTCACATCCGACACGGCATCCAGCACTTCGGCGCCCAGCCCGGCGAGCTGCGGGCAGGCGCGGGCGGCCTCCCCGGTCCAGCACCTGTGGGACGGGCTTCACTGGCGCCTCTGTGGACCTCCGCGGCCCTCTCGGGAAATGTAATTTCCACGGGATTTCGCTCAGGCTCCGACCACCCCTCTTCAACCTTTCGTCTGGACTTCGTCCACGTGGAGTCCAATTGACAAGCAGATCCGGCAAAATCTGGACGAAGTCCCCGAATCAATGTATTTGGGGACCCTCTGAGGCTCCCATGAAGGGCCACACAACAGCACCTGGCCAACGGCACGGACAACAGGGGCTCCCCGGTCCGGATGCCCTCCGTGCACACCTTCTGTGGCAACTCATGGGGGCCTCCCATACCATCTTGTTGGCTCTTGCGAACCGACGCGAGTCGACACTGGTCGACGCCAATTCGACGCCAATTCGACGCGAGTCGGCGCTAAGACGGTGCCACCCCATCGACTACCAGACGCTGACCGACGCCAACGCACTCCCAAGACGGAAATGGAGAGGGCACGCGAGGCTCCAATGGTTTGCGACCGAGCACACCATGCCCCGCCCGAAGCCTGGGATCTGCGCAGGCCGGACGCGGCACGCTTCGAAGAACGGCTCCAGCGCGAAGGCCCCAGCGTCTCCCGGCATGCCCGCCCCGCGGCGCGCGGCGCGCCGGGAGCGGCGCCAGAGTGCACTGCCCGATGGCTCCCTGGCCCAAAACTGTGCTACTGACGAGGTCCTGATGGCCCCATTGACCCAGACCCCCTCGAGTCCGTGAGGTGTTTCGCTATTTTCGGCCTCTGCAGGCCCTTACAGGGCCTCGGGACCGTCAAAAACCGACTCAGGATGAAAAGCTGGTCCTTGGAAATGGGTCGAGACCTCTGACGGTCGATGTTATGAAAAAATCATCACGTCGGGGGTCTAGGATTCAGTCAGCCTGATGGCCCCTTGAGCCTCATGGGTCCGTGAAGCTGCTGACGAACCATCTGGAGTCCGGACATACAAAGGAGTTGGACAGAAGCACGGCCCTTTGGAAGAGAAGAGCATACATCTGCTCGCTACAGATCGACCGCCGCGCTGTATTTGCTCGGTCGGTTCGGACGGGCGGGGATGTTGGGCGAACGTGGCGAGCTGCTGCCATAGTCAGAGGCCCCCGGCCCAGATCATCCCTTCACTCCGGTCTCCGTCTGCGGAGATCTCGGGTGAGCATCGCCCTGTGGCGGTGACCATCGTCATCGTCGTTTCAAACTGGTCATATGTTAAGGGATGCCCTAGGCCCTAGGGCCGCTGTATTGCCGACACTTGCGCGTATCAATTTCAAGTGCAGCAGTGCAGCATGATTGAAGGGACCTGCCGGGGACTCTCTCGCATTGGGATGTCCATGCTCCCTCTTCTGCATCCATCCCGCCAGACGCAATGACCCCATGAATATGCGATTCAACCAGCACCATGACTCTAGGTGGTTCAGCGAGTTTGTTTTTCAAGCCTCCTTCTTCCCCTTCGGGAAGGAATCCCACCAGCCCCTCGGGCGAGCGTGGTCAAACAATGTGTTTTCATTCCTCTTCCAATACCCCTCTTCCAAGATGGCTCCAAGAGGACCTCCGATGCTCCAATATGGCCTCCACGGCGGCTCAAGATAGCCGAAGATGGTTCAGTATAGCTTCCGACATACATCCAAGAGGCCCGACGAGGGCCACAAGACGGTTCCAAGCGCTTTCGGAACCCCTTCAAGACCCCCCCCCGAGAAGCCAGACCCTTCGAAAATCTGAAGACCTTCAATGAAGGTTGCCTTCTCGTTTTTTCGCTTCCGATGTGCTTTTGAAGACTCAAAACTGTTCCAAGATGATTGCCCGAGAGAGCCCAAAGAAGGGCCCAAGAGGCTCCCAAACTAGCCCCAAGAGCGCCCAAGAGTGGCCAAACAGGGCCCCAAGAGGATGCTTTGAGGGCCCAAGAGGGGGAAAGCAAATTTAGGACCCCCCCTCCTTTGATCGATAGCCTCCAACATGGCCTCACAAGGCTCCCAACAGCTCTCAGGAGAGCAGCAAAACAGCCCCAAGAGGGCCCTAAGACGGCTCCAAAACCGCCCGAGAGCGCCCCCAGAGAGTCCCACGAGGGCCGCAAGAGGCAGTCTGCCTCCTCCTCCTCCTCCTCCTCCTCCTGCTCCTCTTCCTCATCCTCCTCTTTCCCTCGCACACCACGGGCCTCAGGGATGGCCTGCAGGGGCCCTCCAAGGCCACCCCGTTGCTTCCCCCAGAAATCTCTCTGTTCATCCTGGTTGCCCGCCATGTTTCACTAGATGTGTCTCTTCGCCCATTTTCCCCGTGAGCTCTCGTGGGCAAGATTCCTGAACGGATTGGTGGGGATGCGCGAAGCATACAAAATATATCACTGTTCCTTATTGATGTACACCCCCTCCCCCAGGCGACCGAGGGCCAACCAGGCACCACGCCGACACCATGCCCATCCGCCCCCCGCCACTCCTGTCAAACAGAAATACAAACCGCACTCGGCCTCCAAATTTGGAGCATGCGCTGCCAACCCGATGCCCCCCCCCACCATGTTTGTCAAAAACCAACGCAACGTACACTTTGGGGCAAAGTCTTGAGTCATGTCGTATTGTTTGTTGGTAAGGACGGCGGGGATGTCAGCATATCCCTTGCCGTGCGCAGGGCTACCATCCCTGACAACAAATTATCCTGGCGAAGGAGCCATATGCAGTTGTGAATACCGCAATTGTGAATATCTTCTTCGGTGGCGATCCCAATGGGGCCACGAACCGCGCGAGGGGTGTGCCGACGTGCGTAGCGGGGCACACAACACGAACAACAACGATAGGTCTGATCACGGGGGATTGAGCGCGGGTAAGACTGAGCGCGAGCGCGTCTGATGGTGGTTGAATCTGCGTGCGAGTAAATCTACGCGCGTGAGTGGGAGCATGGATGCACCCAGTGTAACTGCATACGACTGTGAGTGGCGTAAGTTTGCTTGAATCTGAATGCTCGTGACGCTGGGCCGCCGCAGGGGGCCCCCCAGAAACCCCGATGGCAACGTGTGCGCGCCGCGACGCCCATGTCGGCACGCCCCTCGAGGATCGCGCCCGCTTCCTTCTCTTCTTATTCTCCCTCTTCACCCCCGCACTCCAATGTTCAAGGCTGCGAGCGCAGCGCAGCGCAGCGTGGGGCCCCCGCGACGCGCGCCGGTCGCCTCGGAAAGGTCCCCAGCGACGCGTTCGGGTCGTCTGCCGCGCGGAGCAAATAGAGCTAGCTGGCCGGCTGATAGAGGGCAAGGCTCTGGCCGCTGGGCAGAGCGACGACGGGCGACCGAGGCGCCGGGCAGAGCGCAGCGCGGGGCCCCCACGACGCGCGCCGGTCGCCCCGAGGGGCCCCAGCGACGCGCGCGGGTCGTCCGCGGCGCGAGGCCAAACGCTTGGTCGGACAGTCGAGAGAAGGCGCGGCTCGGGCGGGACGCCCCCCAAATCAGACCTCGCGGAAGCCGAGTTCCCTGGCGGGGGCCGTCGCCCCCCCGCCGCGCTGCCGGCGCCGCTGGCGGCCCTGCTGGGAAGAACTCGACGCGCAGCGCCCGCGTTGGCAGGAGGTCCTCGTGGCGCGTGGCGCGCGAGAGCAGCGCGTAGAGCTCCAGCCGCCGGTCGTCGCCCTCCTTCTCGCCGTTCCCGGCCTCGTGGCGGCCGCTATCCAGGTTCGCGCCTGGGCGACGTCGGCCGAGGGGGCAGCGCGCTGGACAGCCGACGGCCCAGGACGAGAGTCCGCTGGACCGAGAGATGGTCTGGCTGCGGACCGCTCGCGCCCAGCAGGTTCGGGCGCCGCCCCCTCGCCCCGTCGTCTTCTCGCGCGGCGCGCCCCTGGCGCGCCGCCGCGGCGACGGCCCTGCCGCGCGAGAACGGGGTGCCCGCCCGGGCGGCCTTAGAGGCGCGGAAAGTGAACGGCTCCGACGCGCGGGGCTCAATGAACACCAGCGGGCCCGCGAGGTCCCCCACGAGGCTGTCGCGGCGCCCCGGGTCGCCCACGAAGGGCGCGCTCGCGCGCTTCTCCATGCGCGCCCAGAGCCCCAGCGGCAGGCGCTTCAGATAGATCCTCTCCCCCCTGTCTCTCTGGACTTTCTCGGCGTCGCCCCGATCCCGAGGGCCCGCGACGATGCGCGCGATCTGCCCCTCGGCATCCTCGACGAGATCGAGCGCAGGAGTCGGATCCGCATGCCCGCGTGCGCCGGGGGGGGGGTCCGCGAATGCCGTCGGCGTTCTTCGATTTGGCAAAACTCATCATCTTGGCGGCGTCCTGGACATTGATCGTCGGGGCAGACCTGTCGGCAGCCTGCGCGAGGAAGAGCTTTTTTTTCTAGTGTCGTTCAAGACGTCCGAGCCCAGCAGTGCCCGCGCGTTCATCCACCGCGCCGCGGTGTCCCAGGAGAGGCCGATCACGTGGCCTGTCTGGAACCTCTCCTCCCGGAGCCGACGATCATCGGATCTCAGCTGCACGGCGATCCACGCGGCCCGGATAGCCAGAGGGATTTGCTTCCCCAGTTTGCGCAGGGGTGCCATGAGATCATTGAGCTTCGCGCCCTCCAAGCGACTGGGCGCCTGGAGCTCGGAGCACAGCGGCGCCATCCCGAAGAGCTTCATCGCGGCCTGGCGCTCTGGGGCGAGGTTGATGCCCGCCGCCGCCACTTCCTCGAAAATGGAGATGAGCGGCGCCTTGCCGGCTTCCGCTGCAAGACGCCCCCCAAGTGGATCACGATGGGCATCC